TTTCATGACTTAAAGTGACAGCAGTTGAATCCAAATGTGCTGGACTCATAATTTCCTCTTCCACAAATATACTCCCATTAGGCTTATTTAGAGGTATTTTCTGAGGTGAAGGCTCCAGCTGTCCATGGTCTGGGTTAAGTTTATAATGTCTTGCTAATCCTCCTTTTCCTATGTAAGATTTTTCACAAGTCTGACATTTAAAGGTCTTGGGTTTCAGATTATAATTTGAAGAACTGAATAATGCATCCTTTCCCTTCACCTTTCCTTCTTCATCATCTTCTATACTCAGCTCAGAGTAGTCATCGGAATCAGACTGATGACCATCAGCCAAATCCTCCATTTTAATAAATTTATAATCTTTAGCTTTGTATTTGGGGGGGCGTGAAATCCGTCCAGAACGAGTTTTAACCTTCAAGGATTTCTTTAACTTGTCATCCTTTTGCTTTTTTTCAAGGCATGGTGTACTTGCTGAACTGGCTGCAGCCATGGTAGGATTTGGAGACCTTGAAGCCGATGCTGTGGCACAAGCAGCCCTCTGTCCATTCACCATCTTAGATGGGGGAATCTTGTCCACAGACACTGATCCGTGAGATGGCAAAGGCCTCTGCATAAGCAACTGAAGCGGAGACTCAGAAGAACTGTGCAGGAGTAGCTGCTGCTGCTCAGTTCCTGAAACAGGCTGTATCCTAATTAACTGGGGATTAATAATGCCAGCTCCTGGTATGCTAGATTTCCTACCAACTGGCTGACTCAGCGTTATAGTTTTGGACTGGATTGGTGCCAATGATGTCACTGACCCTTCAGTTTCCTTCATCTGTCTTGGCTGAACTTGGACACAAATGGCTTCCAGCTGCTTTTGTGGAAAAAAGGAAGAGTTGCAATTACACAAATACTGTATTAATAAATAAATACAATAGTTAAGAGATAATACACACATTCCCTTAAAGCAAAGCATAAAGAAACTGCTACACATCATCAGCTTTCCATCTTAATGCATCAAAGCAGATTCCCTTCCTTCAAGCTACGGGTTTTCCTGCACATTTTCTGCTGTGACTGAGGTTCAAGTAAAGCATGTAAAGTTTGCTCTGAGGCCATGTCACAGCTTTGTTTCCTGCTAGCAGGCCTATCTGGAATAGCAGAGTCAATGCCTTCACCAGGGCACATCCATAACCTTTAGCAAACCCCACACACAGGAAAACTACAGTCTGCTACATGACACAGCCCCAATACCCAGTCCAGGACATGTCATAATGTGTGTTCACAAAAACTTTTTGGTGATGAGTCACAGAATCAGATGTTACTGTTCATCTCCCTCATAGTTTCTCTGCCTCATCCAAATTTCTGCTTCAGTTCAAATCAATCACTTCACAACCTACACCCCAAAGGTGGGTAGAAAGCCCAAGGACTATCACCTGCATGAGGCATGCAGTAACTTCCTGTGTATCACCACTTAACCACTACGAAACAGCTCTTCTAAGCTCTTCTTGGCTGCACGTGTTGTCAGACCGAAATACTGACCACAGCAGCTATTAGCTACATTCAAACACGGATTTTCCTAAACCACATTAAAAACTATGCCTTTGAGCTATGGGAGTGGAGTCTACACCCTTGAGCAGGTGTGACTGAAAAGAACGGAAAAAAAAAATTATTAGAAAGGATTAAACTCGCCGGAGCCGTGGTTTTCATCACCAGCGGAGCGCCGCAGCCTCCCTCCCCCCCACGCCCCGGGGTTACCTTCTGCGGGAGGAGGCGGGCGGCCGCCGCGGCCCTGCCCTGCTGCAGGGCGACCTGCTGGGCCACGCTTTGAAGCTGCCGGGCGGCGTTCTGCATGAAGCCGCCCGCGGGGCACGGCTGCGGCGGGGCCGCCGCCGGCTTCAGCTGCTCCTGGGCCTTGCTCACTTGCTCGATGACCCGCCGGAGCTCCGCGGGGGCCAGCGGCGCGGCGGCGGGACGGGGCGGCGGGGACGGCCCCGGACTCTCCAGCAGCCGCCGCTGCTCGCCGGCGCTCAGCCCCGCACCCTCCGCCGCGCCCCCGTCCGCCCGCAGGTACAGCACGGTGCCGCTCGCCGCCCCTCCGCCGGCTTCCAGGGCGGCCAAGCTCTGCACCAGCTCCTCCGTCACCGCCAGCAGCTCCGCGCCGCTGCCGCCGCCCTCCTCCCGCCCCGCCGCCGCGCCGGGGGGCGCCCCATGGGTCCCGGGGGGCTCGTCCTCAGCGGGCGGAGGGGGCGGCAGCGCCCCGGCGCCCCCCGCCCCGGGAGCCGCCATCTTGGCAGGCGCGGGCGGGCGGGCGGGCGCCGCATCGGCGGCTGCCCCCGGCGGTGTCGGCAGCGCGGGCGATGCGCGGGGCACCGGCGGCGGGGCCAATGGCGCCCCCGGCAGCGCCCGCCGCGCCCCCCGGGGCGGGGCCGCCCGGCGCCGACGGCGGCTCGCGTGGGCTAAAACCGGCGGAGGTGCGCCCGGAGCTCCCGGCCCCGTGTGCGGCTGGACGCGGGACCCGCGGGCGGAGTTACCCTGAGTTCGGTTTCCCCGGTGTTTGAGCCGAGTCTGTACCGAGTCTCAGTACAAGAGGGACGTGGAGCTCCTAGAGCGGGTGCAGTGGTAGGCAGTGGGGGAAGTTGAAGGACTGGAGCGTCTGTCTTATGAGGAAAGGATGAGGGAGTCGCGCCTTTCCAGCCTTGAGAAGAAACGACTTTGAGGGGACCTCGTGTCTACGTACAAATATCTAAAGGGGCTTGTGCCAAGAGAATGGATCCACGCTCTTTTCGGAGGTGCCAGCCTCTTGGATACGAGACAACTGATGCACAGAAAGTTCCTCCTGAACATGCGGAAGAGCTTAACAGTGCAGGTTACCGAGCACTGGAACAGGTTGCTCCGAGAGATTGTGGAGTCTCCCTCAACTGGAGATATCCCAGAACGGGCTGGACGCAATCCTGTGCCGTGTGCTGTAGGACAAATGTGCTTTAGCAGGGAGGCTGGACGAATTATGGTCTCCTCCAAAGTGACCCATTCTGTGAGTGTATGCTCCACCACTCGCTCTCACCGGGCGGGGGAGTGGGTATCACGCGGGAAGGACACCCCACACGGTAGGAAAGAGCCCGAAGGGGTCTCCCGAGCACGCTGTAGCCGACCCCGCGCTCCGCCGGGTTCCTTTAGCCGCAGGAGCGCGATGAAGCTCGGTCCGTGCTGCAGCTGCTCTGGGCGCTCGAGCCCCGCACAGACGGACAGACAGACAAGCCCGCGGCCGTGCCCTTGTACAGAGGTCATGCCCCGTCTCAGCAGAACTGTATGAGGTGGGTGGGAATCGATGGGACAAATCGGAGAGACGAAAAAAAAAAAAAAAAGGGAAAAGAAAAAAGAGAAACAAAACATGGAAGCTTATGGCCCGTACGGGGATCGAACCCGCGACCTTGGCGTTATTAGCACCACGCTCTAACCAACTGAGCTAACCGGCCAGCTGCCTGCTCGCCCGCCTCTGCAATAAATAAACATAATGCTATGGCAATATTTTACCCTTTCCTCGAGGTGGCGACGGCAATGGATTGGGCGAGGACCCTCCTCGCCCCCGGGAGCGCCGGAGCCGGGCCCGCGCATACGGAAACACAAGATTAACGCCTCAGCAAAACCAAAAGCAAATCGGAAAACTCTTCCCTGCCTATAGAGTGATGCAGCACCTGGTAGGAAACAACTGTAACGCGGGATCGGGGATAACTTCGCCTCTAAGTCAATAGGCTGATACGTCTTCAAGTTTACTAAGACATGATTCAAGCTACTTTTAATTAAAACATTTGAACATTCTTAAAAATCATCTACTATTCTGTTTAACGCACTACTAGGATCTTAGTTTGCACGGACAAAAAATTAACCTTTTCCTGGTGTTTTGATTTTTACTACATACGCTGCATAGAAAAGAACTTTTCTGCTCACTTTTGGAGACTACGTTACAGTACAGATGTCTGTTTAGCAAGAGGCAAACAGCGGGGACAGGGAGGGGATGACACAGCTCTCCAAAATGCAGGTTTTTGGAGACAGCTCGGTGAGAACACAGCTTCTTCCCGGGCCCTTCTCTCTGCCGGACTGGCGGTACGGCTGCTCTCCCCGTCCCGCAGTGGCGCGCAGGATCCGCCAGGGATCAGCCCATCACCGGGGATGAATCTGAGCCCGCCGGGGCGCTGCTCCGGCCTCCGGAGGCTTGACAGCAGCCAGGGCCCGCCGCTGGATTTATGGAGCACATCTCCTGTCCCAAGGGCTCCCCTCCTTAACCCCTGACCCGCGGGCGGCTCACCCCCGCCACCCCCGGGGAGTCGGGCCGCCAATTGACACCTCGAGGCGAGGTATTTCGGGTTTTATTCTATTTTGCACAAAGCAGGGAGCTGGGTGGTATCCCACAAAAGTCTAACACAGTGATCATCAAAACTTTACACTTGCTATAACCTTTAACAAACAAAGGCATCAGCATTCCTCGGCTACCAATTATGTAAGTTTTCTATTAATTAGTATTCAAACAACTATTTGGTAGTAGCATCTCGCTTTTCATGCTAATTAGTCCGCAGGCGCAGTTCTTTTTTTCCGGTTGAGTCTGCGGTCCCTTCTGGGTAGGTGCCCAATGGGTTGCGACCTGGCACTGCCAAAATTACGCTTTCCCCAGTTACTGCTCCTTCCTCCTGACTTCAGTCCTGGTGGCTCTGGTCCAGACATCCCATTCACCTTGACATTGTCTTTCCTTAATAATAAAAAAAAAAAAAAAAGATTATCCGAGAGTCCCACACCCACAACTCTCCCGCACCGGGCGCGCACCTGGCGGGCAGGGCCGGGGCGGGGGCACGCCGTGCGCACTGCGCATGCGCCCCCGGCCGTGCCGCGCGCAGCGGGGCCGGCGCGTGCGCGGTTGCCGGGGCGACTGGAACGCAACATGGCGGCCTGAGGGCAGCGGTGCCGGCCCGGGCCCGGCCCTCGCCCGCCAGCCCCGGCACCGGCGGGACGGCGCGGAAGGCACAGTAAGAGCGTGCGAGGGAAGGCTTCCGGCCCTTTCTGAGGGGTGGTGCGGGCCCGGAGCCTCCAGGGAAGCTGACGGTCACTGGGGGCCGGGGTGTTAGGGAGTACCCGCGCTGAGGGGGCTGCAGGTGCTTCTGCAGCCCGCGGGCCGCTCCTGCGTCTCGCATGCCAACGCTGGTCTCTGCGTCCCACTCCTCCGCCACAGGGAGCGAATGGGTCTTTCTCTCGGCTCCTGCGGGGCATCACTCGCCTGCAGGTCTTTGCCGGTCCTTTCTCAGGAGCTGCTAAGTTTTCCTGCTTCGGCACGCCTTGCCTTCCATTGCTTAGTATCCTTCACATCATGTCGTCTCACACCCTGCACATCTGGCGCGTCTCTGAGTGCAATAATTACGTACCATGGCCTTGAAGCTCAGCTTCTTGCTGCTTCCTTCATTTCTTTGGTTATTTTTCGCTTCCCACGTGTATCAATAAGCATCATAGCTTTTCATCACTTAAACATCATAGCTTTTTCTTCCTCAGTATCTTGGCATCCTTGTAACAAAGTGCTTTAGATTTTTATAATACCCTCTTTTGATTACTGTAGTGCTGTCTTTTGTGTCATTTTGCATTGAATTTTTTAATTCTAAATGATTATTAATTTTCCACGCTCTCTAGTTACAATGGTTGGGTATTGTCTCTGAGTTCCGTCACTTGCCCATAATTTTTGTTTAAATTGTTCCTTATTTTCTAGGTTCTCAAACCTCTTGCACATTAAACTCGTATTCTATTGAATAATTCATGGCCACTTTTTGGGATGTTGGATGAGTTCATATTGCTACAACTTGTTCTTCCCAACCTTTATTTCCCTTCCCACTGACGAGTCTAAGCTTGAATGTCTGTGTGTGTCGAAACAGAGGGGAGGGAGGGGAGAAGTTAGTTCACATCTGTTGTTACAGATGCATGAAAGAACTCTACCCAGTGATCAGGTCTCTTTTATTCAGTGTTCTATGCAAATGTAATTGGAACACTTCCTTTAATTTCTCCTTGAAGTTTTCAGTCTTACAGTGCTCATAAAATTTTTAACCTTTTCTTTCAGTCTGCCTCTTTGACTACAACAAGTTCAGGTAATCTAACTGGTAGTAAGGTTTGTTTTGTAGCTGTACAAATTTTCATAGCTTGAAGTTGCTCTGAATTGGCTTTTTTTGTTCAGCGTGTGGTTGAAGTCTTTTGTTTTGGAGGGTTCTTTTTGTTGCCTTGTCACTCTCAGGATGTGATCACATCATGATCAGGATGGTGCTGAAGTGGATTTTTAAGAATCTCCAGAAATCTTGCCTTGTGAATGCAAAATTAAAGTTTGTTAGTACACCTGAAGTCTAAATTCTATTTCTTCTTATTCTATATAAATTTCTATGCTGCTGTTCTTACAATATCTGATTTTCTTTCAGCTGCTGATTAAATAACTTGTCATGTGTTCATTATCATTTTGTCCCTAGTTGAAAACCCCTCTTATTTTAATGACCTGTTTTGTTCAGAGTTTATGCATTGACTTTATTCATCAAAGAGACATTTCAAATAATGCAGTTTTCATTCCTGATTCCACCTTTTATTCAGTCAGTTGAAATTATTCAGACCTTTGCTTCGTTCTTTTCACTCTTAAAGCCTCAGTGGTTGGTTATGTGTGGGGTATTTATTTTGTCTACAGAGCTCTCTGTTGGGAAAGATGTACAATAACAAGTTTTACAGGCTTACCTGGAAAAGATTTTCAGGGCTCTAAGAATGTTCTAAAATGTGTAAAGGATTAGGTCTTTGTACAGTATTAGAATTCTGCAATTTAAAATCTAAACAACTCACGTTGTTTTGAGCTCTCTGCTGTCATCTGGACTTCTCTTGTATGTGTAAAATATATTTCTAGAAGAAAATATATAAATATAACCAAATAGTATAAACATATACTATCTGATTTCTTTAAATTCCTGAAGATATTTTCAGTAAATTTGTACAATAATGCTTTCCCTGCATTTCTCTGCCCAAGTACTTTGGTTCATTAACACTGTGGCTGGTATGCCATAGATATTAAGATCTCATTTACAGATCATATGACTTTGAAATATTTTTTTAATGCCAGAGAATCAATTACTTGCATTTAAGAAACAAAAAATTACAGGATGGCCATTTATTAGAATACAAGAGTAAATCAGCAATCAGCTAATTTTTTTTTTTTTGTGTCTGTCTTGTGTATATTTTGGCCCCAGGGCTGGCTCTGACATTATAAGAACATAATATAGCCAGTGTGTTTGTGACTGGTTGGAGAGTATCAGTTGCTACCAAAAAAATCCATTTACACTGAATTCTGCGAGAGTAGTATTTAAGTAGTCTGAATTTACAATCTCTATCTTCTATTCAGCAATTTAGATAGGAAATTAAAACTTAAGGTGGGGATAGAGAACATGGTGACTTTTCCTGACAAGATGTTATTTCCTCAGTCTCAATAAATGGAGGCTGAGGGTCACCTGTAGCACAAACTGCCCACTTACCAAATTACAGCCAAAACAATGGAACTGTCCTGTGGTCTCCTGGTCTCCTCCCCATGCTGGAGTCTGTTAGAGATTGCCTCCTTTACCCACAACTATTTTCAAATTCTGCTTGTGCTTTTAAAATAGCTCTCTATGTAAATTGTCTATATTGAGTGTATGAGATGGTGTGGTTTATTTTAAATTACTCTATTTCCAATTTTTCAAATTTAGATGGCCTAATTAGTTACTTTATGATGCAGCATGATTGATAATGATCAGAAAACAGAAGCAGCAGATGATAAAATGAGAAGAGCACCTGACAATTCTCATGTAAGTGCTGCTACTATACTGAAGAAAGAGGGTTTGCAAGGGGAAGATTTCTACTAATTAAATTACGAGGATTTTACTCACAAGGAAAGAAAACACTTTTTCGTTGTTTGGGTTTTTGTTTGTTTTTTTTTTTTTTTTTTTTTTTTTTTGTTACAGAAGCAAGTATGAGAGCTGGGGAGATGAAAAGAGAATAAGACGACACAAATCGATTGTTAGTTGGAAGACAGCATTAGAATGTCCCTGCCTAAATAACTTTTCCCTCTGCAAAATTTCTTGGCAGGCTTTCTCCACTCTGAAGGCTGTGTTTATACTTGTAAATTAAACATATCTGGAAATCTGCTTGGACACAAAGCGCAGCTGGCATGAAATAGCCCTCATCTCTGCTAGTAAATTCTCTTATCTTCCAAAACAAGGCAGTAGGACAGAAACTGCTTGAGAACTGACCTTAGAAGGAGTCCTCACACCAGGCAGGGAAGGTGCCTCACAAAGTGCTGATTGTCACAGCCAAGTCCCTGCCAGGTGCTGTTGTCACAGTAACTAATAACAGGCAGCCACGCTGAATTTGCTACTATCACAAAGCTTGAGACTCACAGTTATTCTGGTACCCATAAAGGGCTAAATATGATAAAAGAGGTTTTCTGCCCTGCCTCCATCAAAATGACTGGGTTTGCATCTTTCTTGAATAATAAGACCCATGTCAAAAGCAACAGCAGCATAAAGGTCACTAGAATTGGATTGTGCTCAGGTGAAATTACTGAAAAAATTATCAAGGATAGAATCTGTAGGGGCTAAAAATAAAAGGAAATAGGAGGATGAGGTGGGTGAAGGGAACGAGGCACTGGGATTGGTAAGGAACAGTTAATCACAAAGCTGAAGGAGAATAAAGGAGAAAAGAAAAAAGTCAATTCTGATGGAAATTAGAAGACCTGAAAATTAATATAAATAGAACTTTTTTTGATAGCCCATATCTGCTTCATCCCTTAAAATTCTGCAGAATTAGAATTGACTGATTTTTCACATCCTTGTATTTGAAGCATTTAATTATCAAAGCCAAACATTACGTTTGGCCCAGTGCAAATCTCATATCTGAATTTAATACAGGAATAACGCTTTAAAATCAGAAACTGCTTTGCTTAAAATAAAATATGTTAAAAAAAAAACAAAAACAAACCAAACAGTACCTCCACAAAAAACCCCAACAAATAACCCCATGTTGGAACAATGATTTCATAATACACATGCTTTTCAAGATAATTTTGTTTTCAGTACGTTGAAAATAAAGGGAGGTGTTGTTTTTGTTTTTTGGTTTTTGGGTTTTTGGGTTTTTTTTGTGAAAGAAGCAAAGAATAAATTCAAATATGAGTTGCTAATATGCTGCAGCATAAAAAAGGTAGGAAGAGCTGTGTGGAGAGGCATCATGTCTCTGAGCAAGGAAGTGGTAGTTTATTGTCTAAGAATTACTGTCTTCTACTTTCTGGAATATATATTTCTGTAATCTGGGCAGCAAAACTTCATTTGCTGTTTTTCTTTTTATTTTCTCTCAGCTTACATGTTAACAAAATATCTCTTTTATTTGAAAGTTTTCCATTAGTCAGCATTTAACAAGTAAAGTAAGGATTGATACACAGTCTTCATAATAAATTCAAACATACTGAAACAGTGTATTTCTATTTTTAAAATACCAGCTGCTAAGATAAGGAGAGGGAATATTTTCTGATGTTCTGGAGAAAGTGAGGCTTAGGGAAGGAAAGTACTATGCAAGTAAAAACATGAAGCAACATTTTGAAAGGTATGCATAATTAATCATGGAAATTCTACAGAAAGCTATGTTTAAATTCAGTGAGGGAACACAAAATTAAGACTAAGTGAAGCTTTTTAAGTACACATGAATTAAAAAAGTTTGCATGTGGTACAGAAAGGGAACTCTGCCTTTCTGTCTGGCACTGCGGGGGTTATTTCCCTGAGTACTTTAATTGATGTCATCCACTGTATTAAATGGGGCCTGGCCACTGGGTAGAGGGTGAAACTATGAATGAGGAATAAATCGTTGATTTCTGCCTTGTCAAATGCACTGAATATACTTGTGCTGCTTTTCTTTTATCTTTGGAGGAAATGTGTCAGTTCTCTTCTTGGGCAATACTTTTTTCAGCCTCTTTAAGTACTGTTGTAATGCAGGTTAAAACCAGTGCATTTATCCTTTGTCAATGTATAGTATTAGTTCTCCTTCATATTTGCATTTGTATTTACGTCCAGATGTTATATGGTCACAAAACAGGTGATTTTTATCAATTAGGAAAATAGAGGAGAGGGCTGTGTGTAAGTATATATAGACTTGACATTGTTCTCCAAGTATATAAGTTCCAGCCAGTGGCTCTTGTGTTACTGATTTTATATTCTCAGTTAAATATATCGAGTTCCTAATGAAATCACTGGGAATGACTCATTTGTATATACAAAGTGAAATGGGACATTTTGCTCTTAGGTGAAGTTTCAAAATGTAACTCAGAACTTCAAGAATATCAGTTAAAAAAAGAAAAATACCTTCAAGTAATGTAGCTTTTGATTCTCGGTTGTATTGTTAGAAATCTCTTGGTCCATTTATGCACTACCTACAATTGACAGAATTGTCCACTTTATGATTAAAACAGTTTTTAAACTATCTGCTTAACTGTATCCAAGAGCAGATGTATACAACTCAGTGGTAAGGCATGGCAGACTCGTGTCATCTTTTCATCTAAAACATCTTTTAGGCCTTTAACCCTTTGATAAATTGACTGACAAATTCTTTTGATGGAGTGAACTCTTTTAACAACACATAACAATATTATTTTAAACAGAATCTGCCCATACAAGGTATTCCTCCTCATTTCAAAGTGGAAAATATTGTTTTGGTGTTTAGCTGTACATCTGACGGGGAAAAGACGTATGTCCTGCCCTGATCCATTCAATAGTGTGCAAAGCTCTTTGTTTCCTGCTTCCTCCCCAGAGTTTCTGTAGCGTGGGTTTTTTGTTTATTAAAGCCTAGGAGGGCAATGAAATAATATACACAATAATTGAATAGTGTCTGTTTTTCATGTAAGAGGTTTCCATCAAAACTTAATTTTAAACGTAAAATTTGGCAATGCATCCCACTGAGCAATGTTTGGAATGCATGCTACAGCAGAGCAAACAGTATCACCCATACTCTTATGCAACACAAAATTCCTGCTGGGAGCTCCTTGGCATGGTAACTGGTGTCTGGGGCACAACACATTACTACTTTTCTTCTTGGGCTAAGCCCAGCTACTCCAAGCTGCAAGAAGGAATAAAGACATTTACTAATTACTGATCTGCTCAATAAAGAAACAGGAAGCAAACAAACTGCATTTGAAAGTTCAGTGACAGACTAAAGTTCTGACACCCTCATGGCAGGGGAAGAAATCAACTGTAATCTAGTCCCTGGCTGCAAGTCAGTCATCCTCTTTTCTGTTTAATTCAACTTTAGTATAGAACAATTGAATAATCCAAGATAAATGCAAGCACTAAGGAGGCTGACTCCACGTCCTGCTATCTTTATGTTTACATAAAGTTGTTTTGTATGTATGATGCATTGATTTCTTTCTTCTTTATTCCTGCATTTGAACAATGTCCAGTAACTTTTGGGTCTGGAGACAACCTGTAAATTCTTAAGCAGCTTTTTGAGTTTGAAACACATTTCTCAAAATCTGAAGTCTACATATCTGTCTTTGTTAAGGAAGTCTGATGTAGCTCTTGTTATCTGTGGCTCTTTTCCAACAGACCAAAATATTTCAACATCAGTATTAAAATGAAAAACTAAATATATGTTAAGCATAGTTAAATTTCATTTCATCACATGTAAGATTTGCTGGTGATTTCAACTCATGTCCCATATCCAGGTGGCGCTTTAACTGTACACCATGGCTCAGTACTCTGGTTAGGCACACTCAGAGCTGATCTGCTGAAATGGCCTCTGGTACTTAAGGATCTTGGCTTGACTTATCAGTTTGAACTAGGGATCAAAGCGAACTATTTGGCAGTATCATTTCACAGGCAACTTTACAGACACCCCTGTGCAAGTAGTTGAAGCTTAGCTCTCAGAATTAGGCAGCAGCTGAGCGATGCTTTTGGAAAGAGGTGTCAGTGATAAAGTTGGGTTCCTTGCCTCATTAAGCACTTCAGTGTCTTCTGGGGACATGTTCTGTCTCCCAGAGTGATCACGTTTTATGACAGCATTTACTCCATTACTGCATGGTACATTTCATCACTGTGCAACAGCAGACATATCCTTCATTATTCAAATACTTGACACAAAACTTGTTGACTGCTCTGAAATATTTTTTCTTGCCCTTCAGGCTGTCTTATTTCTCTGTTCAAGGCTGTACAAGTACTACACTGTTATTGCCAGACCCGTTTTCTACAAATACATGGGAAGGCACTAATTGTGTCAGCAGCTTGGCTTTCTGGAACTCTCAGCCTCAGCTGCTGTGCTGGTAACTAAGTGTAATCCAGCTGGCCAGCCAGCTTGCTGAGCTCCTGCAAGCTGAACTGCAGATTGTACCCTCAACCTTTTACTGGCTGGCTTAATACAACATTGCAGGGGAGATGGACTGTAATGCAATTATCTTACAAGAAAAACTGAAGACCTAAACATGTCTGCCTCTGCAGGGCAGTGAAATGGAAAATAAAGTGTCAGATGTATTACATCATGATTGTACTTTAAATTGCTGTTGTCAGCAAAATAGTGATTCCAGCCAGATACTCATTGCCATGCAACAGAACACTGCTGGAGTTCTAAGTAAAAAGAATTTTCACATATAGTGTAATGGCTTCCCTCTCTTTTATTCTAAACTTGTATCAGTTAATTTACTGGAAATTTCTTGATACTGAACAGTGTGATGTGCCCAGAAAGCATGCCTTCAAAAAGCTTCCTGGAATAAATGAGCTGACCTCTGCAGTGGGTGCTTTGGATAGCATAAACTAAAACTATGATGCCTCAGATGTAAGTTAAAAAACTTCCATGAGACAGTATTAATTAAAAATGAACATGTCCATTTTAATACTGATTCAACTACATACTTTTTTTCTACACTGTGTACAAATCAATATGCAAGTTCTATTTCTAGCTTAAACTCTCTTATTTGTTTATGCAGTGATGACAACCCTGACTCCCTTTCACTGGTATCTGAATTTTTGGCCCTGACTATTTATGAGCTGATAAAAGGTATGTAGCATATGCTTAAGAAACATAAACTCTCCTTGTGTAGATCACAAAGTGAAGTTAATTATTTTTCACTTGGTTGTTCACTGTGACAGATTATAGAACTCATAGAGAATCTTGTGCTGTACTCCTTTACCCTTGATTTTTTGCCAAGGGAATATACCTAATTGTTTAAGGCATGGCTACATGCAGTCAATAGCCATCTATTCTACAGTCAAACAACCTTGACTGCAAAACACAAAATAATTAATTTCTGTTACAAAACAATAAAATTTAAACAGAATATTTGTTAGGTCAAGGCTACTCTGAGGTATTAAGAAAATTATTCCCATTTGTTTCAAAACTATTGAATCAACGAATAAAGATTTACAGTTTTTATACCTTGTAAAAAAGCCTTTCAGTAAGTTTTCTTTATAAAATAACATTGTTCCCTCATACCTTCTATATTTAAAAATTCTGGAGCTGTTTGTCAAAGCAGGTCAGAGACCATAAAGCTTAAGGAAGAGTTCCTCCAAAAAAATTAGAACAAAAGCTGATTTAAAACCAGTTCTTACATAAACAGTAAAGGAATTGGATACAGCAAATGAAGGGGCTTACAATTCATTAGTAAAAAAAGGATTTTTTAAAATGAATAATTAAGAATTTGTAATGTCTTAACAATTGGGAGTTCCATTTAAATAACTGAACATGCAAGTGTCATTCAGTGTAATACGATAAAGACTCCTGAACGTGACATTGGTGACACTGACTATTCAGATCTCTAACAAAAGGAGTAACTCTGTTTCTGACCTAGATAAGAATGTGAGATTAAAATTGAGTTATTTGCTGATTGCTGAAGAAGATATTTGTGTGTACTAGTTTTAATAAGACATTTTGAGTTTCCTATATTTAGCATGACATTCAGATGGAAATGAGAATCATCATTTCAGTATGTTCTGATTTTTTTTACTATTTAAAAATACAAGTTCTTTCAAAGTTTTCCAGAAGATGATGATTGTTTTCACACCACTTAGTTGTAGTAACCTCCTTTTCTATAACATGGTGAATCAGTTCAAAATGAAACCTGTTTTCAACAGTAATCTGAAATGCTGCAGTTAGGGATTATCTGAACATTCATCTGGGTTTACCTAACTTCTATAAATTGCTGATTCTTCTTTATGGTCTGAATTTTGAGTGTGGACTGCGTTTACAATGATACAGTGCCTTATTTTTAATGTTGTATAAGGTGGTGACACATGGAGTGGAGCTTGTCAAATCATAGAATATAATAGAAAAGTGAACTGAAGTGGACTGAAAATGAATTTTTAATTTGACAAGGAGCATGGAGACACTTCTGTAATTAGGAGGACAGTTCACTGTAATGCTACTAGTGTGGAAAGCTGATAGTTTTGTGTTTTTTCCTTAAAAGAACAAGAGATCCATGTTACTTCAATCAAGCTTGTCTTTACACAAAGTCATAATTGTCTTACTGTTAATTTATAGCAGAAGCATTTAATAACTGAAAAACAGTCTTGCCCTTTATTTAATCAACAGCAGTTTGGTAATTTAAAGCAATGAAAAAAAGTGGCAGAGAGAGTTGTGGAGGATCTCTCAAGAGGAATGATAGAAGCCTCAAGTGCCACTGCCTTAGGATTCACTGCACCATTACCGCCAAATAAGGTTTCTCCAGTGATAAATCTGGAAGTAGAAGAGCATCTGCTCCAGATTTTTCTAGTGACATGTAATGAAAAAGCAATTGAGCATGACTTCTTTCTATGAAGGCCCAATTCCTTAAATACAAATCATAATCTAAATTGATTTGAATAGCTGCATTTTATAATATATTTTCCACTATAAATGACAAAAGTCCTGATGTTGAAAGCACCGTTTATCTCTATGGGGGCACTACTACTACAATTCCCGATGTAAATGGTGCTCTTTTCCAAGTGCTTTGTGATCTAATCCTGCTCAGGGGATTATGTGGCTGCCTGGAGGAGCACTGTAATCAGTTGGGAACACAAGTCCTGCTGGCTCTGGGGCTCTGGCCTCAATGAGTTACTGTCCTGACAGTCTCCCTCCTCCTCCCAGCCAATTACTCATACTGCTGTCATCGCACAGATCAGTACCTGCTTTGTTTTTCAAAAATGTGATCATTTCTGCCTCCGTTGATGGCCTTGCAGCATTACATAAAGGCATTACAGCAAGATTAAAAGGCCTTTGGAGCCTATAAAAGAAAAAAGCTGAGCAGTTACTGAATGGCTCTGAAAAATAGATAAATTTTATAACTGTAATTATTGCCTAACAGCAACAGCAAGCTAAACAACACAGGTTAGCCTTGAATTTGCAATTCAGATGTGAATCACAGTCTTTTAACCATTGTGGTAACTTGAGGTGATTGATACAAATCTTCAACCTGAAGGACAATTACTTTGAGTAGAGAGGAAATGAGATATTTAGAAGTGAAATACTGCAGTTCTGCCAGAACTTGGGGAAATAGAAATACTGAAATAGAAATACTGCAAGTAATACATGCAGTAAAAACTAAGGCATCTTACAGAGTATTTAATTGACAATTATTACTTGAGCTATTCTGGTGCATACTGAAATACAAATTATGTCAGAAGTTGAGTGGAAAATGAATTACAAAACTAGCTATAAATGATGGAAGTAGTATAATTGAAAAAGGTGATATCATTGCACCTCTGGAAACTGAAGACTACAATATTTGTATTCTATTTGTTCTTCACTAAAAAGGACTCACACAACTTGAAGTTCTATTCTAGGAAGGAGAAAGCCATTGCCTGAAAAAAAAATAATCAGGAACAACATGTACCAGATATGCAAATCTGTAGATTGTGTACATAGGTAAAAGACCTGGTTCAAAAACAGCCTTACAGCAAATGTAGTATACATTTATTTCAGGGTCTTCTCTAGGCAGAAACAGAATTGTCTGGGGCAGCTGCTGACTGCTGCAGGGAGAGAAAAGGCCATGGCCCAGATAAATCTTTGTCTGCAGCAGAGCCCTGGGAGGCAGCAGGCAGCCAGAGCTGCTGCCAGCACCCCAAAAGAGCTCTATCCCTGCTGCAGGAAGCCCTCCTGGGAGGGGATGGCCCTTGCAATCCTCTGGTAGCCCTGGTGAGAGCAGAAGCAGAAAGCCTGGCCTCTCCTTCCTGGACTTGCCCATTCCCCATTCCCATATCTGCAGCTGTTGTCTCACCATGATGGCAAAATTTAATTTTTTACTGTTATTTTGATAAGTTTGAAAAAAGTGCTGGTTTCTTTAAGTTGGTTTTTATTTAAACAAATAACTGGATGCACTAATAATGTTTATCTTTTTACTGTATTCTTCTCTCTCCTGCGTTTGCATTAGTACAGAAATGGGATATTTCAGAGCAACAAGAAAACATAATAATAAAGGTAATTAATTTTATGTGAGGATATTTAACTGAAAGTGAAGTGTATAAGTATTTATCTCTTTACCCTGAGAAGGTGATATTTATTCATGAATAAAAGGACAGTTTTTTAAGAAATATGTAGACAGTTACTCTATTCCTAGTCTAGTGGAATGAACAAACAATTTTGTTACTGGCTAAAAACTGAAATGACTGAGATGCATTACAACCTGTATGTGTTCCCTCCAAGCTAAAAACCTGTTCTTTATCCTCTGTTAATACGTATTTTTCGTTTCTGTGTTAATCTAGGCACAGGAAATAGGGTTCCATTTTGCAGCTCTTTCTTTCTATATTCAATGCCTACATTTAGTGGAAGTTGCACGAACAAAAGAGAGCAGAAGATGGTGGCTTTCAGAAGATTTAATTGTAATCATCTCTCTTGACAGTTTCATAAAGTTATTTTGCTAATGTTTGAAAAGCAAGTATTTCTAAATTCAATTTATGAAATTTTATTTTCTGAAGATAAATTTTTGAGTCATTGAAGTGTACAGGAGAAGCCAAAGCCACCTGTTTTATCACTGCTAAAGAGAAGAACGCTAATAACTTAATTAGAAGTCCTATTTATCAGCCTTTCCTTCTGTTATAGTCCCTATGCTCTTAGACCTTTCTTTTTGATGTACAGAACAGTATTTGCATTACATACTGTGGACACAGATATCTTCAAGCCTGGACCTACTTAGTATTTTAATGCAGCTTTACTGCTGTGATTCCTACCCCTGGATTTTGGAAAGTTTCTTCTTAAAGTAATCTGTGATTTCTTCTACAATTACTATTTTACAGTCATTGCTTGAATATTTTACTGTTTGCAATTTGTGGAAATGCTTTATTTTTGCAGCAGAACACCCTGAAGTTAAGAGATTTTGGACCTTGTAGGAGTATCTATTCTCAGCAGGCACACAGTACCTCCCCACGCTGCTACTGAGCACCTGAATGTTTGCTAACAAATGGGCTCTATAGTTACAAAATTGGCATGTGGAGTCCTGGCTGTGTTTTCTATGAAATCACAAGGTACTGTGTTCAGTGGAGGGTTTTGCTTATCATTAATCAAGATAATCAAAGGTAAATAACTCAGATTAGGAGCATGTGGTTTGAATACTATGATCTTCGTTTCCATGGATTTGTAGAAGCTTCTGTGCTTAGGCTGCAGGGTTCATGAGGCAGTAATCCCATCTGGTCTGGCATTCTCTTCACCCTGTGGCAGGTTAGTAATAAAGCAGTTCAGAACACAGTACAAACAAAAGTGATTTTCAAAGAAACATTTTGGAACATTTTCCCCCAATGGCTTTGTATTTAGTAAAAAAGTATTTTCTCTGTTTGATCTCTGTGTAGAGTATGGATCATTTCCTCCCATGAGCATCACAAACTATCCTCAGTCTTGTTAATACACTTAATGGTAAAGTGTTTCCCACTTTTTTTGGACTTACTAGTTCTTTCTGCAAAAACAGAAGAGATTAGAGAATCCACTCCCTCTGATTTACGAATTTGATTTACAGTGTAGTGTAAGACCCCTGTGCTCTTAAGATCTTGTGTGCTGATATGTTTTAAAATCAGGTTCTGATGAAGGAAGAGTTCAGGAAAAAACAAATTAAAGTCTTTTAAGATTTTTGGTGATGATAAAACTATAACTCAAAAATTTTGTCACTGGTCTTGAAGAAAAAAGGAAAAATACCCACCATGAGTATTTCTCCAATATCTTTGTGCCCTAGCAACAGCAGCAGTTCTTTATTCTCCTCCCACACTGCTGTCTCTGATATGCAACCAGGACTGATAACATTTGCTTTGCTGCTTTCCTCCTCCACATGGCAAGTGCAGCTGCTGCCATCACCATCACATTAAATGACAACCATTATGCTTTGCCTGCTAACTTGTAGAAACATTTCTACTTCTCCAGCCAGAAAACTGTTAAAAGAAAAATCCCAAATGTGGTAGTACTCTTGCAAAGTAAATTGGGACTGAAAGCTTTAAGAATGTCTCGTTTTTTCATTTCAGCTTGAATCAACAGGGCTTTGTAGCTTTGTAAGGAAATTACATGCTGCAAACTTAAGTTTTCTTAGGGGAAAAACCCTAAAAACCTTAAAGACATTTCAGTTTAATGTAAAAAATTTCACTTTTTGCAACCATTGAACGTTTTCAGAGATTTACAGGTGTGTTCAGCGAGAAAGGAGGGATGTTTATTGGAAATTAATTAATGAAAAGAGATACAATCTTGCCAAACTAAAGGCAATTACGGACAGGTTTGTTTCTTTTTCAGTGCCTCCTGCAGTTGTTGCTGTTGAATGGTTGCATAAGCCTTTATGCTTTATAGCACATTGTGTAAGAACTTTTAGTCTTTTATTCAGCCATGCTGATCTTTCAAATCTTGTTTCCCTTTCTGTTCCCTATAAATCATAATTCCTGGATCTCACTTTTCAGTGGCTTGCACAGTTGCTCTTGAATTTGTTACAGTTTTACATTTGACAACAGCACATTTTTTATTTCACACAGAAGCTAGTCCCAGCTGCGTGTCTTGATGCAGCTGCACAATGTGAATCACATCTTTTTTCTCCTTCCTTTAAGCTTTATGAAGACACCCAGAGCAGTGTGCAGCCAGCTGTTTGATTGAATTTGCAAACAGTTAAAAAGAAGTTTCTCATGTCTACAAAGGGACTGCATGTTTTGCTTTCAAGAGTCATGTGGTGCTACTGAAGTGTTACTTAAATTATAAGCCCAAGGAAAAAAGCAACAAGTGCAGGAAGTAAATGTTACTGGACCCAACTAAAGTCAGATTGCTCTAATATGATAACAATGTTTTCAAGGACTCTGTGCAAGTTTTATATTAACTGAAGATCAAGGTCAGGAATGCAGTTCAAATTACCATCTTTCCACTGTTCCTACTTGCAAAGAACCTGAGTGTTAGGAATGGAGTGTTGTAAATACATTTCTATGTGCATACACAGCAAGAGGGGCTGCTTGATTCTGCTGTCTTAAAATGAGGAGAATACACTGTCTTCTAGGATCTGCCACTTTACTAAAAGCAAACACAATTCCAGATCCATTGCCCTTCACCACAAGGAATGATCTCTTTACATATTTTTCCCCAAACCAGCAGGAGAGGGCAGCTACAGATTTCTGTTTAATAACCCAAATTACTCCTTCAAGGCAAACCAGCTGCTGTGTTCCTCTGCTGCTCATGTTATCCTCCAGTTGCTGATAGGTATTAAACTGTCCACAAATGAATAATTCTAACATGTTATCTTCCTCACAAAAAAGGGTTTTTTTAATCAAAAGTGACAGCTCAACTGTATCTTCTCTAGTGCTAATACCATCTCTTACCTTGCAGTTTCCAGCCTCTTTTTCTTGGATGTAATGAGCTGGACCACATCTCAAAAATCCATGAAGTGATAGGCACTCCTGGTAACAAAACTCCAAAATTTCAAGCAGTAAGTATGCACTCCCATAGTTACTAATCTCACTATTTCAATATCCACAATAGAGCTGTACAGCTGTGTGCAATTTCTGCTCAGGGAACTACCACAAAAACCTAAATCTGTGCTGACACAAGAGCAGTGTCTTCTCTCCCTATCCAGAGACATTCACCCATTCATGAACCTTACAGGCAGAGCAGAGGAAATCTGAGCCTATCTTGATCTTAGTTGGCCTTTTATTTCCATAGTATCTTTAAGGCCAGTGACATAAACTTTTATGAAAGAAGAAGTTTTTTTTTTCAAGTACTACTTACTTTTCCCTAATAAATGATTACCTAAATCAGGTGGATTCTTTCAGTAAATTGTAATCTTCTCTGAATATGCATGATTAAATGTTTTTCTCAGCTTGCTTAACACAGGTCAAGAATTTTGAGTTTTGAATCCTCCCTTTAAAGAAAGGAAAAGGAAAGTCTTCTCTTGTGCACAAATTAAAGGTTTCTATTTCCTGTGTGCAATGATAAAATATGACCCCAATGAGAGAACTGCTGCCCATCAAACCTTAAAGCACCTTTATTTTCAAGAACTCTGGCAAGTGACTTCAAATCACTTCAGTTTTGAAGACTAAAGTCAAAAGGTGAGGGGCGCATTGTGTCCATGTTTCAAGTGGTGTGAAATTAGTTTCCGGTGCTAGCCCTTGTCTTGTCAACCATGAACATAATTCAGTCAATGGAATTCTTTGCATTGAGTCCAAACCTTACCTAAAACACTACTGATGCTTGTCTCTATTCTTTTTGCCCCCACCTTTTTAATACAGCCAATACATGAGCTTTAACCATGCACAAAAAATTAAGAGTAGTAGGAAATATGCTGGGGCAAGTACCTCAGTATTTGCGGCAAATTTCAAAGGGAAGTCCATGACAGGTTGTATTTAAGTGGAAGAGCTGTCAGCCCATTTAGAGAAAGTAATTTGTAGCACTGAGCTTGTTAGCTAGAAACAAATGTTTTACTTAAGCTGATTACTTGGGTTTATTCTGTCTGCCTAAACACAGATCTTTATTTGGTCTGATGCGGTTCCCCCTCCCCCCAAATCCCTGACATAGACGAGTTAGAATTTAGAAGCTCTGATACCTTATAATCCCCTCAGTAGACTCTTGTTAGAGTTGCTGTTACTTAAAGGGTCAGCTCCACCTTTATTTTTAAATATCATCATTTTGTCTGTTTTTGATGTCTGCTTTGAGTTAAAAAGTTTTCCAGATGAAGTGTGGCAGAGACAGGAATTATGCTTTTGCCTTTTCAGGGCTTCAGTGTGCATTTTGAGCAAATAAAAATATTTTTTAAAAAAACATAATTATCATGTATATAGATGAAATAGGGAGAATTCTAAATGCATATTTGACATAAAATAATAAATAATTAAAATCTGATTAAAAATCTGGCAAACTAAAACTTTGTTTATATATCAGCTATGTGAAAAAATACTCTATGTATTCGCTGTATCAACAAGGTGAGGTGGAAGTTAGTACCACATGGAAAACTTTCAAACACAGGTTTTTCTCAAAAAAACCCTCAAAAACCTCCACAAACTAGCAAAGAACAACTATAAATTATTTTATGCTGTACGTTCAGCTTTGACAGCATGAACTCTCCTTCTACAGGAGAAGCCACTCTTTCAATGAATTTAGTTCTGGGATTCATCAGTGTAGGTTTTCTAAGTTGCTTTAGACAAGATTTCAAGAAACATCAAGTAAGGCAAGTAATTTTTAAAAAGGAATGAGGTGAAGTTGTAATTGGATGAGGGTTTTTTAATTTCTGATTATTTAGGGTTTCTCTTCTAACTGTATTCCTTAAGATGTTGTCAGAAAGAAATCAGATCTTGTTTGTTTATTTTAAAAGCATTCTCTCAGGAAAGTCTAGGAAAAAAACCAAATCAACAACATGGGCTTCTGCTGCAAGAATTACCAAAATTACATTTTTCTGGAGTAGCCAAATTGATTTGCTTTCCTACTCCTACATTGCATTCAGTTTTCTGGAAACCTAAGGAAGGTGGTGGAACCCCTGTGTTCCAGTCTGTCAGAATTACTGCATCAAATATTGAGGTGTAGACTCTCACTTGCCCACTGAAGCACATTTGAAACTTCTGTTGTTTCTTCAACAGTCTGAGAAACAGAAGGCACTTCAGTCTTCCCTGAAACATTTCCATTTGCCTGCTATACAAGGAATAGGAGTGAGGAAAAGCCTGGCTATGCAGTGAGAGAGACCCAGTCATGCTTCTGTTGTTGGAGATCTAACAAGAACAGTAGTGCCTGATTTTGTCTTGCTCTGACAATTTGCAGGAAAACCCCACAAGGTTTGAGGGCTGGTTTCCTACCATTTTGATATTATGTTCCTGAAGGGGGTCAATATTTAATAAAAGCATTGTTCTGGCAGAGCACAGAGAGTGTTCTGCATTGAACTTCCTAAGTACTTGTTCCTTTTATAACCTGGTGGAGGAGGAGGTTGGTTAAAAATAACATGAAAGGATTCTTTGAGCTCAAGTATTAGGAATGGAATGTTATCTACAGAATTTAAGTTTTCAAACTGTATAACAAATGACAGCTAACTGCTGTATTTTTTTTTTTTTAGATTCAAGGGTTTGGGTTTTTTTCAGTTAGCTCTGGAAATTATTCACCCCCTGTATTCAATAACTTCCACCTCAGGTTTTACTGAAAATGTGCAAATTGTTCAATCATAAGAGATACTTGATTTTAATGCAGTTTCCCTAACTGCTGACTATTTTTATGTAACTATAATCTAATTCAAAGCTAAACCAACTTTTTAGCTGATTGAAAAGTAAGTAAGACTTAGTCATAGTTTGCTTCAAGCCATGGATCTTAACATTAATCAAAAGTCTTAACAGGGCCTGATATTGCAGCCAGTTGCTTAAAAGAGCAGTAAAAGCACATAACTGGTCACACTTCAGAAATTTGGCACACAGATCACCGGCAACAATTTAACAGAATATTTCCTATTATTAAATAAAGAGTTAAAAGGCAACATCCTTATCTTACTAGGAAAGAATCTTTATTCCAAACTGGTATAATTGATTTTAAAATTCCTGAGATCTAAAAGCTTGCATTAAATAATTTGCAATGCTTACATTTGGTGATGTGTTAGAGAACATTTGGTTATTTAGAAAATGAAAGTCTGTGCAAGTCATACTTGGCTGGGGGTTAAAAATCTTCTGCTACCAAGTGTGTATGCAAGACAGGTTTGGCAAATAACTTTTTTGGAGGTTTTAATTAGTTTAAATTATACACTTCATGGGAAGTGATCATTTTTTTCCACAACCAAACATTGAGCTCTGGTGCTGCTGTTCAAAAGCCCAGCCATGAGCAGGAGGCAAAGAGCATTTAGTGTGAGAGGTACTGCTGCAGGGAGACACCATGGAAAATGGGGCACTGGGGAGAAGTACATCACATCCAAGTCACTTAGTCAACCCTTAGGCATCAATTTGAGATTTGTGCTCTAGATCCAGACTAAACAGTTATTCTAACCAATTAAGATACACAATGCAGTAAAATACAGGTTAACATAAAGATCCTGTAAGAGAAAAATGAAGCCTGTTATGTTCACAGTTCTCCTTCTGAGACTCCACAGGGCTGTGTATTTGTGAAAACAATTATTCTTCTCACTCATTTGAGCTCTTCCAGTAAGCAGGCTTTTTGCTGTGGTTTGTTAATTGGTTGATTGTTTTTGTAAGAAGAGGCATCTCAACACTTGTAGGGTTCTGTTGTGACTGGATTAGAGCCTAATCCTTGTTCAGGTTAACTGTGGACAACTTTGAGCATGCCCAAATTCCACACTGTAGCTTTTCTGTGTGGAGAAGCTCATTAGACTCAAGTTCTTTATGAGTCTTTTTGACATCTACTGCTTAAAAGCACTTGTCTAACTTACGTTTGTCTTCATGTTTAGAAGATGGTATTATCACATACTATACTGAGGATCAATGTGACATTTGTAAGGAGATTCTTGAAAATGTGAAAATAGTCACAGGGTAAATGTGGTGCAGACTGTGGGAGTATTTGATATTGATTCAAATTTGACTATCCAAGTTAAATATCATGCACCTGCATCATGTACCATTGCTCAATTTATGTCATTTCTTCATAGCAAACTTTCAGAATCTCAGTAGCAAGAATGGAAACATATCCCAGCCTTGGCAAGAATTTGTATAGAATAAGACTAAAGCACTTGAACAAGGCTCTGCAGGGAAACCTCTACTGCTTCTACTTGCACTAGGCGTGCCAAAGGAAGAGCAGATTTCTCTTACTAGGACTGAACAAATATGTGAGCAGTGTTTTGGTGGAGAAGTGCTTTACACCAGTAGAGTAAGAACACTGTAACAAAGGGAAACAGCAGAACACAACAGTACAGTTAACTGCTCCTTTTCATTTTACTGAAACTCCTACTGCATGGATGCTGCTTTCCTCCAGCTCCAAGCAAAAAGTGTTCTCCTGAACACAGTATCTCAAAGTGCAGTGAAGATATGTAACCACAGTGACTGGCTGAGGTTTCCTGCTCTGTTTCACTGAATCATCTCCCCACATCTGTATGCTTTCATGTTAGCAGCTCATACTGATAGAACAGAGAAAGTCAACAATAAGGCAATACAGTATTTGTCTGAAGACTTACCATAGGGATTCTTTACAGACAGACATATTTGTGAAAGGTATGATGCTGCACTTAGAAAATGAAATTAAGGACCGCAGGTCTATAGGCAGGCAACACAATGCAACAGTAACATCGAAGTTCTTACCTTTGGAACACTGAGCAACAGGTACCATGAGCTTATCCAGTGTTTTTTCCAGAGAGGAAGATGGTGAGTTGCTTAGTCTGATATATTTGTAATTCAGCATAATGAGTGGCATTCAAATTGATGGTTTAAAAATAGGTAACTAACTGGATCCAAGGGATCTTATGCTCCACTGTTATTAATTTCTTATATAAAAAAAGGGACAAATCCTACTACCCACATTTGATGGATTGTTCTGACTCAGATCTCCCTTACCTAGCACTATACAGGAGGTCAAAGCTCAGATTATCAAAACTATGTTCCTGATGGAGATATATTTATTCTGTTTGTTGCTTCTTATCAGTTTTTGGCAGCCTCAAATCACAGATGCTGAAGTTTAAGTATTTTAACTAAAAAACATAAAATTCCATCAAACTGTGCTTGCACATGGTACTTTTCTGATTCCAAAAGTGTTATTGCCTCTGTTTGCTTCCTAATTAATATATCAGGTAGGTGATTATTCATACACCAGGAAAAAGATGAAGTCAGAATTTTTGTAAGTTTTAACCTGGAAAGAAAGGGCTACCAGGGTAACATCTTGTGTATTATCACATTCTGTGTATCTGGGGCTGTCAGACTGTTATAATGAGAATAGCAATTTCATGTTTCATTTTTGCTATAAAATTGAAAACCTGAAGCGAAGAGCCACATTGGAATTTTTCTTCATTTTTTTTTACCCTTTCAGGTGGATCTTACTCAGTTTGGCACATACAATACTTCAAGGATATTGATTTCCTAACAAGTTCTTTGCTGTTAAACCTCTGGAGACAACTTACACTTCTCTGGCTGTTGGATGAATAGGCAAACTTGTGTTTCCCATCTGCTTTATAGTTAAAATACACCCAAACTTTAAACTACAAACTGGCAAGGATGGTCCCACCCTCATTCTTCCAGCTAAAATTCCATACTGAGATTATCTGTGTTCCGCTTACTTTTAATTATTTTTTTTAATGTAGTAGGAAAAATATTTTATTAAAAGTTGCATCTACAGTAGAGTTCGTAAGTTCCTTCCAGGTAAGTTATTAGTACCCTGTTTCTTACTAAAATAATTTTTTTTCCATATAGAACAGAGTGTGGTATGGACAATTTAAGCTTCTAGGTGATTGCCCTAATAGTAAAGAAGAGGCTGAAAAAAGAAAACCCACACACATTCCTTGTGTGCTGCTGGACTACAATTTGTGGCAGGGACATACCCTGCCAACATGGATGTGAGTAGCTGCTGTTGTTCCCCTGATGCTGGATATTGCAATTCTTCCCCTACTGGTTTGTATTTTTCCAGCTGAAGGAAAAAAAAGTCTTTTAAAAAGTTACTGCATATTTTTTCAGCTATGTTATTTTGACTCAGACCATATGAAGCACTTATATAGAAGTCGTCTACGGGGAGATAACTACATGAGTTTTCAGTGATGAGGTTTATCTGTATTTTAACAGTTAAACCCACTATGTTAATAAAACAAAACTTCTGAAAAATAATCCTGCTCAGTTTCAGTATTTTCCCCATTCCTCCTATTTTAGAAGAAGACAGATAAGAATTGTAAAGCACAGCTACATCTTGAATAAAGTAGGGAACTAATTCCCAGCTTATAAACTGATCTGGCAGCTCTCTACACACTGGCTGCATTGCAAGGATAAGACTTAGTTATAAGCTACTGCAGTTGCTTCTCCCCAAATGTTCATTCATTTCCTGAAAACAAATCACTTCTCATGCCAAAAAATGTCTTAAGTTTACTTGTAATTAAAAAAATTCTACCCAGCTTTATTGTTGGAGAGCGGGAAGGGCATTAACTTGTGCCCACAGATACAGTGTGTTTCTTGAGGCAAGTTCATGGTTCTGGGCAAGCAGCCTGTGTTCTACTCTGCCTGCAGGATTCTACAAATCCCAGTTAGGAATGTTGCTGCATAAGAAAAAGGGAAGCATATGATGGACACTTCTAGCTTCTGTCATTATGGGGCTGGACATAGAGGATTAGTCTTTGCAAGAACTACTGAAAACAAGTTAAGTGGTGTGTTGACTGATTAAAAATGACAAGTGTTTAGACAAGCAACATTAACCTCTGCAAATCCATGGATATCCCCATCACACTTATCAGTTTAAGACCATTGAATTATAAATGAGATGCCTGATGTAAGACAGAGGAGTCTCAGAAATGCTGCTCCAATGTGTTAACCCAGTTTCTGACTGACAAGTCAGGAAGTGTGTACAGCTACTGTTGTGGGATCTTCCCAACTCCAAATGCACGGGACTACACGATAACAAAATCCTTACCCCATGAAGGTGCCTGTCTGTGAAATTGCTGCTGTATGATGTATTTGAACTGCAGGATGTGTTTGGAGATATACCATTTAGAACAAGAACAAAACAGTTGTATTTCACTTTCTAATTGAAATTCATTTCTATTAAATATGAAGCAATGTTCTAAGTAAGATATTTGTGAAAGGAATTTGTTCTACAAAGTTTAGGTAGTATTTCTGTACCAAACATTTAATTCAGCAAAGAATTGGTTACATCAAAAATGATTGGATTTGAACAGAAAGTAAACAAAAATGCATATTCAAGATAGTTTAATATGTATTTTCTGAATTAGAAATATCACTTTCTTAAATGAATGAGAATTTCTAGTGTAATGATCCATTACTCCCATCCCCCATCACTGAATTACATTATTTATACATATAATACAGAGCTGATTGCAGTTGGAAACAACAATATTAAAATAAATGTTTAATAGATACAAAGGATCTTTTCTCCACAACATAGTTTCTCTGGTGTCTGGACACCAGTTTTAAAGTAATTCTCTATAAGCATTAAACTATTTAAGTGCAAAACAATTTTGTTTTAAAAAAAATCTATGATTGCAGCATCCATCTTCCTGAAAAACATTTTGAAGCCAGAAAGTAATGACTTTCATTTTCCATGAGTGCATTCCAGGCTGTCTTCTAGCCATCTCTAGTTAAAAAAATCAGTGCAAAATAAACAATGGTGAAGTACTAGTTTAACCATTGAACTTACTTGAATTTAAGAAACATATCTTATTTTACACTATATATATATATTTATATCTTTTATTTATATATTTATAGAGAGATTAAATTACACTGGACTCGAAAAGTATAAAGAAAACAAAAATGTTACTACTTTTTCCTGCAGTACTAAAGGAAGCTTTTTGCTTTTTCTCCAATGCAAACTCTTCCTTGGGTGAGCAGCCTAGCAGGATCAGCTGTAGTGAGAACTCCTTACATTTGTCCTTTGCAAGTCACTATGTGATTCACATAATTCCATGTTTACACTCTGCCACATTATAATTTGTGATGCTCTTTGCCTGAAGAACAGCTCCTGGTTCCACTGTCATTACTTCTTGTCCTGCGTTCAGAGATTTGCTAGCAGTAGTGTGATGGCTATACTACAGTTCCACTTGGAGAATTGGCCTGGTTTTGGGATGACAATAAACCCTGCAAACAAAGCAGTTTACATTAATCCAGCAAGAGAACCTGACATGAATTTTAAAAAGTTCTTGACCTGAACCTACAATGAGTACAGTTGATTTTTACCAACACTTGCTTATTACTTCAGACATCAGCACCTTCTCTCCTACAAAGGCTCTAAGCCACCACGACCTCAGCCAAGCAGCGCACAAAGAGCTCTCAGACAGGAAGAAATGTGTGCGTTTATGACACGGAATGGATCTGATCCCAGCATTTGGTTTAATCTACCTTGCACTTGGAGTCATAGTGAATTGTGAAACTTTAAAAATCACACACCAAAAAAGTGATCAGCATTTTACTGGGGTGGTGTCAAAAAAACCTATTTCAATATCAATATGTTTGACACCTGACCTGATACAGGGAAACGCTCCATCTCCTATATGTGATTGATTATTGCAAGGTTTGAATAGAAAAATAGATTGTCTAACCAAATATTTGTTTTGGTAATTTTAAAACAGAATGAAACACTGAAAAGAGTTCAGAAGAGATTTCCTGTTACAATTTAAGTTCACACTCAGGAAAACTTGGTACCAGCTCTTCTAACTACCCTGCCATTTGAATCAAGAGACTTATTTCACACACAGCCCCACAACTGCGCAGTGCCCCTCACTACACAGAGGCTGCTGCTCTGGATTAAAGCAACTACACATTATGGATGAAACCTATGGGCACCAATGGACAGACTCCATTTCAGATTTATGCACAGTAGCCCCTTTTTAATAATTCATGTAAAAGTAACTTTATCAGGCTTATTTAGGAAAAGCTTATTGTCAAAATACAATTTAGCCTTCTTATAAGGTCATTGGTTAGTTGTACTGAGTGCCAGCAGGCCAAGGAGCATGCTGGCAGATGGAAGCACACTGGCAGCTGGAAGCACACCAGCAAGTATCCCCATGCAACTCCTCACCTTATAGGTATGATAAATGCACTTTCAGCAACTCCTCTAAGCAGCTCCCAACTTACGTTCTTATCTCCAAATTAAGATCCTGGGACTCAGATCCATCAAACTAGACAAGATCAGGCAGCAATTAGCATACAGACAGAAGACAGAATTATGTCACTTCATCAGAATCTACAGGAGCTCTTTCAAACTTGGATCCAAGAACTGAGAGGTCATGATGATGCAAGTAAACCCTGACCTCAGAAGAGGTGGAAAGAGGGGAAAGAGGGCCAGACTGGATTCAAATCATCAAATTTCTGTTAAAACCAAAGCCCTTCTTTTTAAAACACGATCTGATCATTTCAGACACATCATGAACCTGGACAGTTTGCAGATTTATGCAGACTGTATTTGCATGTGGCCCATATGACATTTATAAATAACAAAGCATTTGGTACTTAGTGCCTTCCATAGACCTCACCTGAAGGTTCCTTCAGGTTCCTCCCTCACCTGAAGGAACCTGAATACCTTTATTTGTATTTGTTTATGCAGGGAATATCTGATTCAAAGACTGTTGAGGTAGACTGAAGTGGATTGTTCTTTACACTTGACATTCAGGATGTGCAAAGATCCTGCATATTTCATGAGAACAAAAAGTTTCCTAGTTATCACTTATGGACTATAGATGGTGAAAGAAGGCAGAACTTTAGAGCAAACAAGCCACTGAAGCACTTCTGAAATTTTTACCAGGGAAGTTTTGTTGGAAAGTGACAAGGTTGAATCAGAATTCACTAGTTCATTACTGAAGCATTCTTCACAAGTCTATTAAATCCAGCAGCAACTGGAAGGTCTTTCTTGTCAGAAGATTACATCCACTAAGCAACTTTGAAGTACCCTGGAAAAAGACGTCCAAAGGTATTATTTTCAGTCTAATTAAATCAGCAATCCAAACTGTTCATATGCAAATATGTGCTTTATAAGCACACAGGAAGCTCTAGGGATGGCATAACGTCAAGTCTTTTTCAACAGGCTCATAACCACCCTATACAGGAGAAATAAGCCTTATTCTAGCATTGGATTTACATTGTAACACAACCAATTCTTGGGAAACAAAATGAATTTATTTTCCTAGGATTCTTCTAGAAACTGGCAGCACATACGAAATTAAGTGTGGTGCCTTATTCCCTGTGAATTACCAACCACTCTAGAATACAAGTTCCAAGATTAGGAACAAGGAGTCAGCCCTGGTTACATCTCATAGGCAGTGAATGCTCCCTGCTTTGAAGAGCAGCAGCTCAGTGCAGATGGCTTTCAGTGAGTACTAGGAATTCCTTGTATTTCAGTCTTTGCTCTGAATTAATTCTGCAACTCTGAGCAGGCAAGCCAGAAGAACCCCAAAGTGGAAATGAACTCGAGGCCAATATCCTTGTGCTTCTGCAGATGGAACAAATGTATGCAAGTACTGCCTTAAAACTTGGATTAGGCTATGATGCTGTTCAGAAATTCACTCCCAGGGGAAAGACCAGAAAGTTTGAGTTCTTCCAAGTACTTGATTGCAGAAGACAACTTAAATGTTCATACAAGAAAAGCAAGAGTATGAATTTGGTTTTTAGGCACGTAAGTTTCACTGAGGGTGGCAAGTTCGCAGTTGGTCCTGATTAAAACAAAAATTCTGCAGCATTTTGCCGTTGTATCAGAGCCTTCCAAGCAAGGCTATTCATGTGGTGTGTTCAGTGTAACACAGGAGACAGAGGAAAACAACCTAAGAAAAGCAACTGAGGGTTCAAATAAAGTTACTGCTTTGATACAAAAGTTCACAGTAAGTCTCATCTGTGATACAAAAGGTGTGGGATTGGAACAGTTGTAGTTACATTCTTTGGAAGAATACTATGCGTAAGGTAATGAAAAAAATATATAAAGCTCCTGCCTGTAAAGAAAGAAGAAAGCCATGAGTGAAGTGCTTTCTGTGATGGAACCACCCAGTCTATCAGGTGGGAAAAGATGGAACAAAAGCTGCAGCAATTTATTAGAGCAACAGCCAAGTCAGCCTGTTTAACAGCTGTGGCAGGAAACATGGAAGAGCAGAGCCACAACAGCTGCAGCTCTGCCAGGTGGTGCAGCAGCTTCAGGCTTAAGGACAAACAGATCCCACTGAGCAAGCAGCAGGAAGAAATTAAGACACTGTTCAAAGTTTTGTAAATAAATGTAGTGTTTTATTAGCAGTAGTATTTTGTCAGCATATGAGTCTAGCAGGCATGGGATATGGAATAGTAATGAGATCCAAGACAGGAATTCAGCAAAACAATATTCATCCCAACCTCAGAGAGGTAGCTGTTGTCATCTTAACGGGACACTCCACAGCTGAGCAATGCAGCTTTCAGAGGATGGGGTCATTTTTCCTAAGTCAGTGCTGTGAGTATTGAACACAGACTGCTTCAGCTCTAGCTGCTAGGGCCATCCTGTTTATCCATGCATTCTCTGACTTCCTGAAACACACAAGACTTTACACATCTGGTAAAAATACGCTGGCATGGGTAGGAATGAAAAGCCATAACAAATAGAATCAGGAAGGCCATTTGCACCCGAGGTTCGTGGCACTCATTTGCTGGGGTCAGTTCACTGCAGCAGCACCAACACAAACCCTCCTCCCCATTTATGGGATTGTGAGGAGAGGGGTGGGTATATTTTTAAAAATTCTACATACAATCCAGACAAAAGTCTGGGGCTTCTCTCAAAAGACATGAAACATAAGGTTTCACAACAGAAACTATGAACGATCAGCATGCAATTGCTGTATTAAAAAAAAAAATCAGGAAGATATTATAGTAATAAATGGGAAAAAAGTCAACAGGAGCAACTAAGTTAATATTTTCTTAATTTAAATTAGAAGAGGTTTAATTGGAGCCAGAGGTGCAGTCATACAGTTTTACTAATCTAGATAATGAACAGCAAGTTTGGACATGCAGGATACAAAAAGTGCGTGTCTCCTTCAGGGAAACAGCTCTGCTGGCACTCAGAACATGCTGGACATCAAACTCTGCTCATCTTTCTAATTTCTGGTGTGAAATTGAAAGGTAGTAAAAATAAAGGGTCCAACATAACAAACAATCCAATGTAAAAAAAAATAAGTCTCATAGTGCACTTCATTAATGCAATGAAACCAGTTAAAATATGGAATTAACAAATGCCCATACAAGAGTGGTACTGGTTTGTTAAACCATTTCTACTATTGCTGGAGTAGTTTATTCTTGTCCAGAACTGTGATATTCCTGAAGTAATTAGGGCTACTACGTAACTAGAATTACAAAGTAATCTGGACTGAAGCTTTGCTTCAGAAAAGAGCCCATGGGCCATTACATTGTTTGAGCAATAATACACCAAAACCAAAGTGAGATTTCTCACATTTGTTTAAAATTCTGTAGTTTAATCAGCTGAATTGGTTTTAAGATTTGCATGAACAAAATCTTCAAGTTCTTTATCCAAATGAGTAAGTGTTTACCAGCAAAGGTTTTGAACTGTATATACTCACTAAATCACATATTAATGTCTAATGGAGTAATAAAATTAATTTAATGAAAATGCTGAGGAAACCACATACTGTTCATTCATGCATGAATTCACACATAACATGCTACAGAGAAATATTTTGTATGGGATTTACAGGGATACAGCAAAGCTGATGCCTGTCTTTACACAGTTTGTGAGTTCACTAAATGGGCTTTTAAATTTGTATTCCCTTTGCCTTTTTCTCCCCTCTGTTCTGATAACATTTCACAAAAGTGTAAATACATAAACCATTTGACACCAGACCTTATGAAAGACTGTAGCACCTTTAGGGTTTCACTTGCAACTGCTCTTCTGTGTATATAAAGGAGATTTTCTCTTAACAGAAGTCACCATCTACAAAAACAAATTCAAGGCTGACAGAAAACCATCAGTAACTAAACATCTGTCCAGTGGCATTAGGTGAATGGAAGATATGCAGGTCCAAGAGGAAAAAAAAATGAAGATGCAACTATTTGGGTGCTTGAAAATGCAAAAAGGCTTTTGCCAGCAGAAACCTGACTCAAAAAATAGGACCTTAAGCTTCATTCAAGTGGTAAGGGCTCACAGGCTTATAAACTGTTGTTTCTCAACTTTCCTCAAACTACAAAAATCAGTAAGGTGTAAAATTTTCAGTTTAGAAAATAATGAAATTGAGATAAACCAGGGAAAACCTTAGGGAAAAGCATGTGACTTAAGGCAACTCCATGTGAGTTAGCTGTAAAGTGACTGTAGTCTTAGCAGAAGAAAGGAGCCAGATGGGTTTGATATGGCTGAGCAGCACCTACCTAAAATCCAGCTTCAAAACCCAGAAAATAATATGATCTTAAAAGTTATTTCCTTGAGAAGTTTGTGCAACATTATTAAAGGCAAGTAAAATGACACTTTCATGTTTCAAGACATACTTTGCCAAATACCTTCTCTGACCACAAAACCTGTGGAAGCTGGGTTTTGTTTCAGGCTCACACTGACTATGGCAAAACTGGTTTGACCAACCAGTTCCTGCATGATTGGATATAACTGGATGTTCCAGAAGCATTCAAGCACATTCCATTTTTCCTTTCACTAGCCCCTGTTCTTAAATACGCATCTATGTTGTATGTATAGATTGCCACAATGGCCAATCAATACCTTTGAAGTACCACAAAGTTCTCAAGTTTATATAAGATGATTGCCTCAGCTTTAGTCTACAAAATATGTTTGCATAAGAGACAAACAAGAGTCCTCCCTGTCAGACTGGACCCAAAGTAACTCACTTTCACGCTGAAGTTCCTCAAAAATGCCTCTGAAACACCTCAGTAGATAGCATTTGTTTGGCTTTTCTTTGTTAACAAAGAATCACCGCTGCAAAGGTGAGATAACGCCTAACCCCTCAAAAGGAAGGACAACATCTGAAGTCTTCACCTATATTTGCTCCCAGAAATTTTGCAGCCAAAGTTTTAGACTAGTTTATTTTAGTTTAGATGAGTTTCATTCTAGACTATTTTCTTCTAGACAGAAAATGCTTGAATCATCTCTATGAGCCATATCCTCAGGGCTGTAAATTCAGCAATCATTAGGTAAACACCAAGATCTAAAGCTGGAATAAAGAACATACCCTGCACCAGAGTCCACAGAGGAAAGAGCTCCTGTAGAGTCCTAGAAGGAATGACGACACTCTGCCCCAGCTCCTACCGGACAGGTGTGCAGAGAGAATCTAGATACAGCCATGTCTGTGTTCTGCTGAATCTGAGTTTAAACAAGTTTGAAAAGTGGTTTGGTAAGTATTCTGTTTAATGTTACTCTAGTCCTAAAAAAAATAGCTACCTTGAGTCATAACCTTATCAGCAAGCTTTAAACATCAAAACATCTGCATAGTCTTGAGACAAATTGGAACATTTTCTCAGAACAGGTTACAGATGTGATCAACTTCTTACTTTAAAGTATGGCACGTTAACAGTTTCATTGTGGCCATTTGTTCAGCACAGTGTGAGAGCACAAGACCACCTAAGCACTGCAAGATAAATTAAAACTCAAATGTGGAAAGGACTATTGAAAGTTATCTACATTTACAGTTCAATCACACATTTTTATTTAACATCAGTATACAGAGGACAACCCCAGCAAGTTATTTTGTAATGTCAAGTATTTAGTAAAGTTCTTCAGCTGTAACAGTGACAATAGAACAGCTAAAAATAAGCAGTATGAAACAAACATGATCTTCTTAAAATTATAAATATACCAACAATACTTCTTAAAGCTTAATTATTGCAACAGTTAAATTAACAATAGTTCATGTTAGAAAGGCTCTATGAAATTTATTCATGTTGTCAAGAAATTAGATGGAAGTGTAAAAAGGAAATACATATGAATTTTACTTTTGATTTTCACTAAAGGTAGTCAATACAATTTTGTACAGTATCACCTAACATGTCAATCTTTTAACAAACTCCAGTATACAGAATCATAAAATGCAGAAAAAATAGTTTAATCTTTACAAGTAAATTGACAGTAAATTAACTGACACAAATTTTATTATTGTAACATAAGCAGGCCAGCATTTTAAATATTAATTTAGTAGTTTTATATTGTTAAAGGGGCAGACATATACAGTCATTCCAAGTACATACTCAAATTTTAAGAGGTGATAATTCAGAACATGGGTTTTCTAGAAAGTGTTTAGTAAAAGTCATGTTATTTCCTAATCCAGAAATCCTCATCATAAAGCCTTTACAGGGTTATGATCTCTCCTGGCTTTACTGGAGCCACTTGTCACACCTCCTCACACACGCACACACACATACCTTGCTATAAATATCACACCAGTGTACTCTAGGTTCAATTCACCCTGATAATGTGGGTATGCCATGTGCAACTTTGCTACTATGCACATTACAGAAAGCTTCAAATTTTAGCATGGTAACCTGAAGTTGTATAGCTGTGTTTCAGTTTAACTATAATCATCCCTGAAGTTTATACAGATACCGTATCACGTTGAAAGAAATCTATTTGATAGTACTTAAATACCAGCAATTGAACTTCAATTGTAATGATGAAATGCTCCTTTCCACTGAGGAAGAATTAGTATGTATAGCTGCTTGTCTCACTCAAATATAGTACATGAATGTTTAAGTACTTTCACTAAAACAGAAGTCATACTAAAACATGATACTGTACTACAATTGTAGTTAACTAGAAAATTCAAGGATGTTATAATTTAAGTCTAAGTTTTCCTGTACAGTAAGTCAAATAAATAAATTCCACGTGCATTTGTTTTACAAAGTGGTAGGATGTTTCTCTTGCTAGGTTATACACTGCCATTTCACCTGGGGGTGCTTCTGGCCAATCTTACCTTGAGCTTTCTGACACAGGGAACTCACCGGCAACTTTCATTCACTTAAAATGGAGTCACTGTACAGAACAGTCAGTTCTGAAGTCAACACAGAAATCACATAAGTAGCTACTCTGACCACTGAGTTCAGAGAAAAGTTATTTTGCATATCCAAGTACCACTTTGGGGTTTTGTGGGTTGCTTTTGTTGGGTTTTTTTTAATTACTTCTACAGATCCTGTAATTCAGTTTGACGTAACTATAAAGATAGCACAATAAAGTAACTTTTGTTCCTTCCAAATTCTGTTTCTATATTTTGAGATTAATCCATCAGTTCTGTAATCCTGTTAAGGTTTCCCATCAGGGCCTGGGAAAGAAAGGGGTGACAGACAACAGCTAATTGTCACCATGTTGAGAAGAAAAGCTCATACTCTCATTAAGGCAACCTATTTTTCTGACCGCCCTGAACCTTCTTTCACAGAAACCAGCTCACAAAAAAAAGAAAATAAAAAAAGAATAAAAAATTGGAACTAATGAACCCTGAGCCTCATCCAACTTGTTTCTAATTGAATTTTGCCATTCACTTCACTTCACCGACTGGGAGCTGGCAGAGCAGTTCTGAAGTGCAATGCAAGAACGGTACATCCCGTGAGGAAGCTCAAGGTATGATTTTGTACACACCGAAGCAGTAACTTGGAAAGTTTATAAACAGTCAGGACAACGTCAGCACTGTACAGACTATCAACTATCACAGGGATCATGGCTGAAGGGACACTTCTGGATTTATTTTCCACTCAGGGCAGCAAAAGCCCAACCACAAAAATAAACAGAATTTGTCATACACTGTCAAATTATTCAGCACACGTTTTGATGGCTGTTGGAAATGAGAGGGAGAGGTAGCAATGGCTCAATGGAAATCACATTAGACACTGCAAGCCTCCTTTGCTTTTCCATCCAATTCTTTCTTTAGGCTAGCAGTGGCATCAAATTAACGAAGGCCTTCTGAGGCAATGATGGAAGCAGCAGCAAGATTCAGAGGCTTTTAGTCTATAGAGTTGGCAGACAAAAAAGTGACAGAGCTTTAAGATCACTTGGGGAGCCATATGTCAAAGGAAGACTAGAAATAGCAACTTCAAACCCCAGAGTAATGGGACATCCTAGGATAAAACAGTTGGTGGAACAGAAATGATGGTATATAACCCAGTAAGAAAGACATCACCATGAGTGTTTTATACTTTGACAATTCTCATTAAATAAAATTAAGTGCTTTCCTATAAACAAAAAGGATGCTCATAACGTCCTTCTGGCACAAGTATTTTCCTAATAAAGCCCTGTAAACATGCCACCAAAATTTAATTTTACCAGCAGAGTGAGCTCACTAGAAATGCAAGTGAAATCAGAAAAACAAATTAATTTGTAAATTTCTAAGTAAATACATCCTAAAGAATATGGCATTTACATCAGTGTGCAATATATTAATTTTGAAAGTGATAACTTCAGCATGAAAATTACTTACCTGTAGTTAAAGTTTTCCATATTGGCCAATACATAAATCCTGATTTTTGGTACTGCATACTTTATCTCTGAAATATTTGAAATGTCATATTCCAAATCAAAGTCAATACACAAAAATATTTAAGTTATACTCAGTCTAACAAAACCCACCTCAGCCACTGAAAAATAAATGTGACAGTGTAGTGTTTAATAGTGTTCAAAGGAGTTTTAGAACAAAAAGAAAATGTAGCTCACAATAGCAATCTGAGGCACTGCTGTAATTAATATGATGTGAAGTGCACTGAGTCACGGAAGTATAATTGCTTTAATACTTTCATTCTGAGCTAACATTTTAAATAATTTAGTGTTTTAAGGGAATGGTTTATTTTTTTTTAAATTAATGCTGGATTTGTAGTTCTCAGGCAAAGAAATACTTTTAGATAACAAGCTCCTCCCTTCTCCCATAAAGGAGTTTTCAATTTTAAGTTTTAGATTCAACCTTTAAATATGCATTAAGTTGCAGAACAGACACTGATTTTAACTCATATATATGTTGTGACAAATTTGGTAAGATCTCAAAGAAGCCTACATTATACAAACAATTTTAAGAAAAAAAAACTGAGTTTTACTTACAAGTTTATAGTAATGAAGATGTGGTATCTAAATATATACAGTACCTCTACTTCAAAAGTCAGATATATGAACCAAATGTTTAAAATCTAACAAATGACAGATTTGCATTACGCTGCTCAACATGGCATTATTCAGGTATTACCAGATCATTTCTCTTACTTCAGGTGATAATCTACATCCCTTTTCAGAAATTTTGACAAAAATAATGGTTCTTTTTCTCAGATCAACTCTGAAAATGTTTTCATAGCTGTATTCCTTTGAACTGTTGCTGGCAAGCAGAGCTATTGTAGCACAAAGTACTTTTTAATGTAAGAATCACCACATTTAGCTTCAGTCAAAATTCAGCTATCTATACATTGGACAGAAGAAAAATAAAATATTATAGGTGTTCAAGTGCATCAACAACAAGAGTGAAAACTAGTAATAGACTAATGTAGGTTCAGCTGATGGAACAGGTGCCATCAAAAACACGAGCTTGCAGTGGTTGAACTGCCTTAACAAACCTGACAGGAACAGAACACTGAAACTACTGAGAGAAAGCTTGCAGGACTTTTCCTAACTTAAATACATAAATCAAAACCTGGCTATAATTAGAGTTCCTTGATAATACTGATTCACAATTTAAGAGTATAAACTACAGTCAGTACAGGGCTCACAAATCTGTGCATAAAATGGCTGATGTTTTAATAAGAAGTGGTTTCACATTAATGGCAGGCCACCACAGAAAAGTATGGAGGAATAAAACACTTTGGTCTTCACTTTTTTCAGAGGCTCACGTTTCTCATTAGACTTAGAAGCAGCAGCTTTTCATAAGCTACTCTCATTGGGAGTGCTTATCTTTTAGAAAACATTAGAAGGATTATGATTATTTTAGTGTTTGACATGTTTTACTTCAATTTTACATAAATAGCTTTCACCATATTGTGGTTATGCTTAAGTATAAGAACACTGATCAATAGTTTAGATGCACAGTATTTATTTCTTCTGCTGGAAGGCAACTATATTTAATAATTGTATCCAAGACACTTCAAATCATTCAGAAATATGGCATGCAGTATCCAAAAGTATGGCTCTGAGGATATTTTTTTTTACATTAAGCATAAAGAAATTTTATATTCAACATTCATTATATTTCAAGAAAACTATCTATTCAGAGTTCTAGCTCTTTGATGCAGCATTAAGGATTAAAACTTACCACTTTACCAGGCCTTGCCCATGTGCAAATAAATCCCTCCTGACAAGCAGTGACTATACAGTCTTCAAGAAAAATTAACACAGTCAGTCTTTCATGTGCTATCTTTTTACAGATAAGAGGCTCTAACAAGGGAACATCTTCCATTCGGGGACAGAGAGGTGTTCCCAAAGTTTTAGCTGGGTCCGTTTTGGTTTTAGTAACTAGGTTCAGTTTGTCACTGCTCTTGCTAGATATATGTCCCATGCTATGGTTTCTCTTGTGATCTTTCTCATGGTGTCTTTCCTTCCGATCGTGTAGCGACAAGGTTGCAAATTTACTAACGCCAGAAGCAATGGCACCATCCATGACACTGCTTTTACTGCCAGCATTTGAGACTGCAGAGTGTGGAAGGCTGTTTGACCGTGGAAGAGGAGGGGGTACAGAGTTTCCAGGTGTTGTGATACTGTTTCCATTACTTCCTGGGTTAGTTCCACCACTTCCTGCAGGTGGACTTGTGGCATTCATGACATTTGTATGTGTCCTTGCTCTTGAGAGAGGTTGGTGGGGGAAGAGGATATCTTCTGTAAGATCCCACAAACAGAGCTGTGTGTCCTGGCCTACTGAACCAAATCTATACGTAACACTTACTGGACGACTGTCTGTAGAGTTCCTTTTGGATAGTCTAGATTGCGTGCTATTTGCTCGATCTCTGCCAAAATGAAGGTCTTGGAAATCCTCATCACTTCCGCTAAATTCCATCGGGTCACTCTCTTCTACACTAGTGGTGTACGGATCAAACGCAACGACACTGACCCACGATTTATGTCCGTGGCCTCTCGCTATAACTCGACAGTCCACGAAAGACCAAACTGTCACCAAGTCATCCTCTCCGCCTGTCACTATGTATTTCCCATCAGGGCTCCAACACACACACAGCAGTCCTCCAAAGTAGCTTTTCATTGTACCATGCAATTCCACTGAATCAAAGTTAAACACGCGAAGAAAACCATCCTGGCTCACGCACGCCAAGAACTTCCCATCGGGGGAAAAGGCAAATTCATTCAGGGCACCCTCACCTACTGTCCATTTAAGCAGAGGGTTTCTTGTGGATTTACTCTTGCAAGTATGCACTGCAAAACTCTCTCCTTGTTTAAGTAGCTGGTAGTGCGGGGCTGTGGTACCACAAGTGTGCTCCACGTTATACAAGTACATATTGCCACTGGAATGAGCTACAAGGAAAAGGCTTTCCGAACCTGGTACCCATTTTACACAGGTTACTCGGGACTTGTCTATTAGTCTCTGTGGAAAACAAAGAAGATACACATCAGAAACTCTGAAAAGTAAAGTGTTCATGATTAACTGTAAATCTGAACTTTCTGGGGGATGAGGAGCAATATTTAAATAAAGTGAACTTAACTTTTTAGACAGGAACTATGTTAGTTACTGTATTTGCAAAAACTTATCAGGCAATAAAGAGGAAATTATTTTCAGACAAAGTGCTTTCAAAGGTTATTATTATGATCCAGTCACATTCCACCAAGACCATACTTCAGTTGAGCCAATCTGTTATGAATCTAAAGGCAGTGCTCATTGGTTTACTTTTCCCTGTGTAGTTGAAGAGCATGAGAAGGAAACAAGGAAACATTGAATACACAAAAGGGAAAAAAAGCAGTTACTCATCTGTATTATACAGGAAACAGGTTACAAATCAACAACAGTAAATTTAGGCTCTGATTTTATCTGAAATCACAAATAAAATCCAACCTCTGAAAAAAAAAACTACCAGCTTTTACTGATTCAGGGAGCAAAGGCTGCATACACAGTGACCCTGTTATTTATCATGTGGCTGGAAAGTCAGTAGATAAATGCACATGGCTGAGTCAATTCACAGGGTACCAGAAACTTTTCACCTCAGAATCCCCAGCCTCCAAGTATTTTTTTTTCAATAGCCAAGGACCTGTCAATACCCTGTTACCATTTAAATAAGTGTGTACCTTTAAAACAAAATGTTTTAATAGAGTTCATAATTGCAAAAGAATGCACATGCATTACGCAAACATTCCTGGTCATAATGTCTTCAATTCTCAGAGAACTGAGAGGTAAAGTTTGACTCCTTGGACTGCTATAGTTCTGGTGGACTTCCACAACTTACCGTGTTTTCCATGGCACCACTCAGCTGCAACTTGCAGACAAGTAATTCTTTACAAGCACATTCAAGACTTGGATTTGGCATATTGATTGTAAGCAGAAAGAAGAGCTGAGCTACACAAAAGGCAAGAGTGCAAATATAAAGAGCCTAAGGAATACCAGAACAAGTTGCAAAAGCCCCAAAAACAAAGAAGAAAGAAGAATCCCCCCCAAATCTTGCTATGCTGTTTATCACACACAAAAACATCAAACTAAGGGATAACACATCAGCTGTTATCTGTTGTGGAACTGTCATTAGAAAGCAGCACCTGGCCTTTAGATTAAAATTCCGCTGCTGTCAACCTCAGTATAAAACCAGAAAGCCTCTCTCCTGTAATTTGTCATTGGTTAAAATAGCCATAGTATATTTGAGAGCTGAGAGATGTAACTAAATATGACAAAATTCCTTCATATGGAGCTTTAAAATAATACAGTCTATGATTCTGTTGTGATAGTCTAACTGATTTGTCGTATATTCACTGATATATATCATGCATATCTCAATAATGATGGTTTCAGAAACATTGAGAGAATAGTTACCTGGCACACACTAGGAGCACATGGGCAGGGATCACCAGCCCAGCTGGGTTCCTGTGGGCACCAGTCTTCTCATTGCCAATATGGCAACAAAAGCAAAATCTCTCGCTCTCTACTAAAGCAGCTCAATCTGACATACAGCCTCTACTCCTAAGAGCACCTGCTCAACTTTTCTACCAGAAATGGTATTTTATGTCCATAACCATGTTGGCCTACATGATCCTAAATACTGCAGAGAAACTCTGCAAACCTGATCTTTACTTCAAGGAGCCTGTGAAAAACAGATTACAATTTGCAATGAGAACAGATCAGCTCAGGGAGACAAGATGCAGAGAGCCTCTAATCTGACATGACTACAATGCATCCCCTTCTCAAGACAAAAACTCTAAAGTTATGACATTCAGGAGTTTTAAAAGCTTTCAGCTGGGTTCACAAAGTTCTGCAGCACAACAAAGCCCGGCCTGCAGTCAGTAGGAGCAGCAGATTCATTACAAGAATGATCTGAATGGTTTGCAGTATCAGCACATCAGTGAGGGATGTGAGATAAAGAGCTTATGTTCATTTTGATGGAAAAATAGTAAGTGAAGAAGCTTCACTCACCAGGCAGAAACACTTGCCAAGATTATCTTGGTCATGTTTTGAAGAATTTGAAGGGACAAAATTACAAGTGCAGGCCACAATGACTGGAAAGTCTGAGGCAGTCAAAGAATATGCGTTAAGGTCTTAGACAGCTTTGGCAAAGATACAGGACAAGTTTATTAGGGAAAAAATGCAGCTCAAGGCTTCAGTTTAAATTAAAAAAGGATTAAAAAGTAAGATGAAAAAGCACTGGCTAATTTGATAATAACCAATTACCACGTGGAAACAACTGAATCTGTGAGGTATATTTGACTAGTTTGGGCAGTAAGGAAATATCACTGGTTTAATTTTGACACAGCTGGAAGGAGTACCACTGTGGATACAGATGGATTTATATAGGCAGCCACAAGCTGCAAAGTATCTATCACTCACCTCAGCCTTTCAAGTCCCTATCATCCTCTACATCAACACAATTTAAGAAAAAAATAGTAACAAGTTAAGACTATGCTAGGGCTATTGCATTTTATGTTCAAAATAACCTACCATAACAGCCTGATTTATTTCATGTATCATGTATATTCTGATTGCTCTCCCACTGCTGATAGTCAAAGCAGTGCTTTCAGCTACCTGAAGCACCAAATTACTCACAGGAGAGGTGGTGAATTCTATTACCTCTAGCATGAGTGCTGATCTGTAGAACATTTAACATTCATTCAGACCACCTTATGCCTACAGTTATTCCTAAAGACTATCTAAACTCAAAATATATTCAAAATCAAATAGGTACCTTCATCTTGAAGCAAATTAACTGGTTCAAACATAAGTGCTCACTAATGTTTCTCTGAAAGGGGCTTTAAATACAAGTCAGAACTTACAAACACATCTAGGGCAAACTTCAATAGTGTAATTGACAGAATAAAAATATATTTCAGTTTTAGAGTTGGTTATAACTGCAGATAAGGTCAGCATAGGAAACAAGAAGTTCTCATTTAAGTGTAGCCTAATGTGTGTAGTTTTGGTAGGATTGAGCAAATCCTTACCGCAGCTTGGTAGGAGAGATCACCTCATTTAAGTTTCCACCAAACTGTCAAAGGCGTATTTCCATCACACTGAAGTAATTTGACAATAGCACAGACAAAAAGCAATACTGGAAGTGGCTTCAGTGCTTCCAGCATTTGGGGAATACCACAGGAACTATTCAGCCTGCAACACAGCTCTGCACTGTAGTCACCAGATAGCAAACACCTGGAAGCGTGCACTGGGCCTGGATGTAAGTATTCCACCAGAAGTTCTTCCCAAAGGAACTATAGCTCAGCCATAGGAGTGGGAACTACTCTGTGATATGAATCCAGCTGTTTAGAGTATGTCTGCTACCCTTCTTACCACTTACAATATTATTGTACAAGAATAAATAAGACACTTTTTGTGGGGGGTGGGTGCGGGTGGTAGGACAATGCTAAAATTAACATTTCAACTACTTACACAGAGGTTTTTGCCAACAGACAAAAGATTCATTAAAAGATTCTCCAGCACTATTTCCCACTCAACACAAGCAGAGACAGAGCAGTTGGGACAAGGCCAGGTAGGAAGAAAAACGCCCCTCTTCTGATCTACATGTAGCTACTTTTAGAAAGCTGAGGAGGAATTAGATCCAATTATACAACATCCCCAGTGAGAACAATACTTCAATCTTCTTTGCACAAGGAAGGAGGAAAGCAACACATCTCTCTGAGGTGGGAAAGATATACTTTGAAAGCTGAGCAAGTTTTAACTTCATCTGTAAATTCTAATCCAGATGTGAAATTTCAAAAAAGAAAAGAAGAACAAACAAACTAAATCAACCAAGAGACCTGCAAATCTCTCTAGTTTTTGCTTTAACTGAATTAAAACAAAAAAGGAGCAGAAGAAAAATACCAAGAAGAAAATCACCTCCCCGAAACCACCCAAATGCTCAGAGCTTATCCTCTGCAGAAAATGCTGTCACAAGTCACCCCAGTTACTGGATTTCTTTCCTTATTAGCATCTGGACACTTACTGCTCCAAGAATGTCAATGCTACCAGATACTCAGAGCCAGTGATCCTGTAACTTGGCATTAGTGCTCCCCATATAGTACTCCTTCTATCTTCCCTTATTGCATGGCAGCAGAAAAAGCAGATGGAGAGTTTCCTTCTGAACATCCCATGCCCAAGACATTATAAAACCTCAGCAATTCTGTGTGCCCAGCTTTATATCCTACTCTTATCCAAGCAAGCCTTTAGGAATACTTGATACAGACAGTTTCTGCTGTAATGTCCCAACCATAAAAATAAGTATTTTTAACTTATTTAATATTTTGACTATAAAATATGAGTTAAATAGCAGCTTAAAATTTTCTTCTTCATTGGCAATCAGAAACAACTGAATTCAGACCACACACAGCAGCATTTAGACTTGTAGACCTTACTTCCATCTGTAAACTGTCCTCAACTCTAGTTACAGTATTACCCAAACTAGAAAATCCTAATTTTTAATCTTAAACTCCACAAGATGCTTTTATCTTTTCACAATGAATAACATTTTTATGTAAATACTTCAAGCCAATGGAACAGCTGAAAAACAAAGACAGTGACTGAACAATAAGCTACACAGGCAAATGGAGCCACATCTACTGAACTTTGAAAATCTAGGAACTACAATATCACAGACACATTGCATGCAACAATATAAGATTTCTACTTACTTCCTCATTAAATAATTTGCTAGTTTCTTTTTTAATAGGGTCTATAAGTTGGACCTGGCCTGCAGAGAAGCCCACTAGAAGAGACACACTTTCTGCTGTGGCTGTTAAGTGATTGAAGTCATGGCATGTAGGCTGTGTTCCTTTGTATATCCTTTTGTCTATTGGTTTACTCAAGTCCGCAGCCTGCAAAGAGAGCAAACAGAATTCAGACAGTTTATCACAACATGTGCACATAACCACATCTGTTTGAAAACAACTTTCATACCACACAACAATTTATGCAGTCACAAAACCCTACTTTAAAAAGCAGCTCTGCATTTATGAGACATCTGAGATGTTACAAAAATGTTTCTCTCTTTATATTAAACAAGTATGCAAACTACACCTGCCCCTGCACCTACAGCATGTGACAAACCAATGACAACCATTCTGTAGCACAAAGGCTCCGGTGAGTCCCCAAGATGCCAGAAGGCTTCTCCTTCCACAAGAGCCATCACAGAGACAAGATATCTTCTACTTTTCTAGTAGCACTTTCCCACTATTGGGTACAACCAGTTTTGCATTAAAAATACCATATTCTCAATCACACAATTCTTCAACTCTATCCTTCAACAGGCAAACAAATGATATTGTTCTCCAAAATCACAAAAAATGATCAACAGCTCCAAAGAGAGCATTTTCTAGGAACAGTGATTCAAGATACTGATACTGTGATTATAAAACACATTTTACACCAGTGAGCTACAAAGTAATTTGCTTCTGAAAACAAAACTCAAATATAGCTCAGACAAAATAAGTGATAACAAAACTGAGGAATTTCAATATAAACAAATTAAGATCTAGCACTAAGTGTCAGAAGAATCAAAAGGAACAGAAAAGCAATTTAAAATGCTCCCTCACTTGTATCAACCATGTTTATCCCCATATCACTTCTGAACAGACAACTAAATCTTTCATCATCCAGAGATTAAACCCCACACATTTAATATGCAAGATCATACATCAGGTTCAACCTTGTTTTTTTCAACCTCCCTATTTACTAGGTTCAGAGTCTGTAATTAGAAAGCTCCAGATACTCAACAGTATTACAGGCCTCAGATGTAGCTGTGATTTGGGGCTCAGATTCTAATTTTGATATATACTTTTTCAGTATATTTAGTCAGAGGAAATCAGGCCAGCAATAAAAGAGAAAGTAAACAAGCTTCACATAAAATAGAATTGCTCCAGAGCATTAAACATTGGAGGACAAGGAATGAAGAGCAGCAGATCTTTGGTATTCATAAAGCTACACAGAGAGAAACTAGACTTGTCAGTAGGGAAAAATCCTAACCAGCTACACAGGTGAGCCATTTCCAAGGCAAATTTAACTACAGGATATGCATGACAAGCATTTATACACAACAATATTAAAGTTGCACTTATGTTTTGCAGCATACATCATAAACCAGTTTATTCAGGTGCACGGTCTCCTACTTAAAAACTCCAAAATGAGATGATGTATTACAATTTCTAAAGTCAGCAGACTAAGAAGTCATTCCCCAGAGTCCAGAGATCCATTTTAAGCTGAAAAAGAATATCACAAATACCTCTTCAAGGAGAAATTAAATGGAATACTAGTTCTACTGGGAGATGGCAGGATAATGTGCATGCCTGCCACAGAGCATTCACCAGCTCACAGGCTGATGTAAATCAGTGATTTGAAGTTGAAAGATCAAATCCTAAAGGTCCTGCAGTTACATCTCAGACTGTGTAACATTCCCTTGTCCTGGATCACTATAAACAAGTGCTGGCAAGAGAGTACTCTCAGAATTGGGGTAGCATTTCTATTTGGAAGAGCAAGCTACACTACCACATAGCCATGCCCCAAATAAAGCAGAATTAAAGCAAACCTATGAGACTCAAAGTTCTCTCCTCTGGACAGAAGTAGCAGCAGGACTCAATACCTAAGAACAAAGATCCACTCTAAAGTAAATATGACTAGGCCTAAATCATACTGAGTGACCAGAGAACCTCAGACTGTCCCACCCAGCAGAGGATACAGGCATTACCACCTTCTTCTGAATCCCCATCGTCCCTTTAAGCAGCAAAGAATCAATAGCTGGCTAGGTTCAAACTATACCTTGCTCTTTTGTCTGGGTGAGATTTTACATCACTAGCTTTGGTTTTTGTTGCCCAACAACTTTGGTTGTGACATGTTCCCCATCTCATGAAATTGTATGGTAACAGACCTAGCAACACATGAAATTCTGATAAATTAAACCTAAGCACAGACTTCACTGTGCTTATTCTAGCTGTTCTCTGGGAACCAGATGGCAGTGAGAATCTGTCTGAACTTAAATGAAGTATAAATAAACTAATTCAACCCAGAATTAACCAGGCTTCTACTGACAGGGATGCCTTGCCTTTTATTTACATGCAGCTACTGCTTTCAGTTACAGCACAGTTGTCTCATGGAGATAAGTCAAATCTACAAGCACTAAAGTACTGCTTTGGTCTAGATCTCTCTTAACTGAAAGAGAGTAGAATCAATGGGCACAGGAACTAGAAGACATTTTCTTTATTTCTGCATGAAGGTTGCTATTGGATTTTGCTAAGAACAAAAGTGCTTACTCATAAAATTCAATCACACATACGGACTCGGTGTTTCATCAGCTCATCACCTAGCCCATTTGCTATTTTGTGAAAGATGTGATTCTCAGAGAAAAGCTTTTACATGAGATCTTGTCCATAAAAAACTGTCAAATCCTAGGATCTGCCACTCTTTACTGAACAAGGTGGTATGAACTGCCCCCCACTTAGAAATGTGATGTACTTTGAAAAAACCCAGAAAAACCTTGAGATTAAGTGTTTTCAGACATGGAGATTAAAAGCACAGGAGCAGACACCCTCACCATGGCAGCTGGCAGCAAGCCATTTGCACACTTCCTGTCCCAATGCCTTTAAAATTTTCTTCTGAAAAAACACTCAGCATTATTCCAGCCTGTCCACTCTGAGAAACTTCCTCAATTGTGGATGATTCATGATAAGAGCAACACTTTCAGTAATCACAACTGCAAGCAAACTGGGGCAGCTGATGCAAGGCAAGGAATATCAAGAGCATCCTTACCTGTGCAAGCCTTGAAGTACATTTCAGCTACCAAGGCTCTGGGACTGGCACCTTGGCCAACTGATATCTGTGCTAGAAGTCTGTTCCTTCCAACATACAGAGGTACTGTACCCCCTGGGCAAAGAGCCAAGGAGTAACAGTTTTTGGGCAACAACAGGAACCTCACACACCTGTATAAAGCCAGTGACAGAGCTGAACAAAATTGCTGTAACTTGGGCATCAACAGCTTCCAAGTCCTGTCTCTGAAGAGGTTAAAACTCTACCTTAAGAGAACCTCACACTTGCTCACAGAAGAAAAATTGATTGTTTAGGTTTGTGTGATGAAATCATACTCTAGAAATAAAACATGAACCATATAACTGTTTGGGGGACTTCCTATTCTTATTTAGTTAACTCTCACAGGACACTATTTTAACAAAGCTACTCCCACTCTGCTGGGGAGGGAGGGAGGGAAAAAAAATAAAAGTCTAACAGTAGCCCATTCACCCTGGACTGATGACTTCCAATAGAAGGGCAGTCAAATGGAACATATTAATCACAGCTTTAACTACATAAAGAAAAAAATGGCAGGAAAAACCCAACAAAAAACAGTCGCCTTAGTCTGCAGCAAATTTTAAGTATTCAGATTCTGATGTCTGAAATATCTGATTAGGATGGGCATCAATAACCTTGGTTCTGTAGTTATATGTATCACTAAGGTCAAAGCCAAAGATTAATGTCTATCCAAGATTTATTTTATTGATCCAAGACTTAAGAGGTTTCATAATAAGATTGCCTAAACAGTGAATCACATTATTTTAAGTCATCGTTTAATCACACTCCTTGACAGATGTTATTTCTTCCTGTATCTTTTCTTTTCCTAACTTGCATTTGCAGCTTTCTGCAAATTTTACTTGAATGAAATCTGTCATATATGTTAGAATTCTTTCCAAGATGAAAACATTGCCAAGATATTAAATTAATTACTTTATTAATTTATTCCAGGTAATTTCAATTGTATTAATGAAAAGGCTTCCATTAGATACTTAATAGTATTTAATATTACATTTGCCAAGAGACTGGCTTTCAATGGGTCAAAGCTGTGAGATTGAGACAGAATAGTGAAGCATTTAATAAAAATTTTACTGCCAAAAAATTATCTTAAGAAAATCTCTCTTGTCCAGAGAATTAATTGATCTTGAACAGATTACAGATTGGCTATGTAGGTACAGTTCTAGTGCACAATGAAAGAAAAGACACAAAGAACCAAGACAATGTACTTTTGAAAACAATTTCCTCTGTGTTTCTGCAGCTTGGAATTTGTAACTGACTACCTGTAACTTGCTATCTCTTCCTCACCTTACTGTCCAGGGATTTTATGGTCCCTGGTCTAGAAACAGAATGATTTGAGAAAGCTGTGCTTAATGCTTGTGTCATAATGCTGTACAGGTAACAGAAGAAATCAACTCAGAATTATTACTAAGTGAATTTCTTTGAACTTCACAGATGCTCTTTAAAACTTGGCTGAAAAAGAGGCAAGGCAACCCTCGCTGGAGCCCTCTGCTTTATACAATCTCCTGTGAACAGGACAGAACCCTCCCTGACTTGTTCACTGCATTAGCAAGGACAGGGAAAACTAAATTTGTTTATTCCTCCTCCATGTCTGTGCTCGTCTCCTCCTTCCTGCAGAATTTTCTGGCCAGCTCCATTCCTTGTTTCTGTACACAACTTTCTGACAGAAATACCAGCGTCAATACTTCACATTCTGCTTTATTACCACAGAAGTGGACTTCCAGATTTTTTTGTTTTATAGCCCAAATACAGATCACTTAATATTAGCAACAGAATAATTTGTAGTTACATCACTGTTTCAAGTTGAACTGATCTCACAGCTGACCCTGCTTGGGGTAGGTTAGACTGGAGACTCTCAGAGGTTCCTTCCCACCTGAACAGCCCTGGAATCTTAAGCTTAGGATCAATCAAACAGCTGCAACAGGGCCACTCCCACCTTACTTAACAGGTCTGGTTTGCACCTTAAAGGAAATTCAGGAAGCAAAAAAATTCCAGGAACAAGTTGGTTGTCTTTCCCTACAAAGAC